TAATGAATAAGTCTAATTTGATTACCCGACCCTCATGTTACAATCTTAATTAAATACTTCTGAGGCGACCGAGTAATTGAGTAGTTTGACTGAGTATTGAGTTTTGACATCGGATATTGAGTACTACCTTAAATTAATATTTCTTTCACAAGTCATTGTAAGGGTCATTGTGATGATGACTTGCTAATTAATTTTCTGGACAGTACAAATTGCTGATATCCCTCTGTAAACTTGAATCAGATTAAAAATCTTGATTTACTTAAAACATTACGGTTCACCAGTAAACAATACAGTAGATATACCTATAGATATACAATAGAACTGTCAGAAGTTTGATGTTTACAATACTTCAGATAACTTAACTTACAATAAACTGTTTCTTATTCTTAAGTTATTTAAAACGTGAAATACAATTGACAGTTTTTTTTATATTTCAAAAGAGTCTGACAATAATTGCAGTGACTTGAGAGTTGATGACCACGTTCTTTATTTTTATGTAAATTTTATTGTATACGTTTCATTACGAAAAAAAAAAGAGATTAAGAAGGCCAAAAACATACACAGAAGTTACACAACATTTTGAAATTTGTAGCCCAAAAAAATAAAGACAAGTATAATGCCTTGGAGGTTATATGGATATTCTGACACTGAATAAAATTAGGTTTTATGAGACAGCAAACAAATCGACGCAAAAATCATTAGACATCTAGAACAAAATCCATATACTGTTTACCCAGTTTTTTCCACATATACATGTAAACGAACCAATCGAGATATTGGTCAAAATTATTTCAACGGGGCCCTATTGAATCACTTACGAACTTTCAAAATGCACAATTTAGAATACCCTGGTGATTGCAGAAACTCCATTAATTATAGATAAACATGTGTTATATTTCAGATGATCCTTCAGAGATCAAACTGTTGGTAAAACCCCAATCAATTTACTCCATGCCATTTAGTATTCATCCGTTGGCCGAAAGAAAGAAAAAAAAAAGTTGTTCTCAAAATACCAAAATATATACGTGGAAAGGTAAATTGTAATTATTTTGTATCAGTGAATGGGTTTCAGAAGGAATGGAAGTATCAAATATGCTCAACACTCAATGGCATGCATTCTCAATGGCTCATATATTCTCATATTCTCTGTATTCGGAGAGACTTCTTAGAAAGGGGGAGGCGGGCACGATCTTTTCTGTTCAGTTGTTTTAGACATTTTTAAACTTTTGTTAACTGTTGTTTTGAAATTAGATATGTGCTGTTAACTGTTATATTAACTAATTCATATATATAGCACGCTTTTTACGAATTGACGTATTTAATTCACGAAAAGCGTAGCTTTGAGTGGATTAAATATGTTAACTAGTAAGGCGTGGCTATATATGATTTGTAACATTAATGGGCGATGACACATGTCAAAGATTAAAGACTAGATTAGAGAGCGATTTATGTGTTATTGGAGTGCCACCCCCTTTTTTCACCTGGCGAAAATTCTTGATGGGCTGTTGATTGCGTAAGGTCAAGAGATAAATATTTTAAGCAAGCTCAATTCACGGGATATGCCTTTAAAAAGTGGAGGAAATGAAACGACTAAAAATCCAGTGACAATTTTTTGGAATATTATGACACGATCAAAACAAGTATCCACCAATGTATCAATATCGCCTCTTCGTTGATAGACCATGTTATTCCTTAATTGTTGTCACTCTCCTCGAGCATTCATTTGTTTTAAGTATAGGGAACCATTTTTAATTGAGGGTTAGGTTTGCAAGTTTGGTCGCGTTGAAGTGTGAGGGTAACCTTTTTTCCCGATTTTTTTTTTTTTTTTTTTTTTTGGGTGTATGCATTTTGTTTAAATTTATTAGGACATTTTATGGTCATTGATTTCATAGTTTACTAGGGCCAAGGAGGCGCAGCTACATAGTGAAATAACAACTTTTGAGATGTAAGTTAGAACACTGGTCTAAGCTTCTCCCATTCTTTGCTTTTCCTATGGCAAGCGACACACGACGGGACAAGTACTGGAGAGTGCAATAACTTAAAAATCTTTCAGTTAACCACTCCTCTAAAAATAGCAGAAGTTAACACACTCGAAGATTAAAGGAAAATTTACCATTCAGTAGTTGTTTTCTGTTTTCTTAAAATTGACATTGTTGTTAACTGTTATTGTGAAAAAAAATTACCCCTGTTAACTGTTTTTTATTTATCTATGTTTTAATTCACTGTTTTCTGTTTTCTCATTTAAGATAAATTAAATTGCTGTTATCGGTTATCAGTATTTTAAATTTACTTTTATCTGTTTTGAGCAATATCAAAAATTGTTAACCTGTTAATGGAACCAGCCTTCTTGAACCCCCCCCCCCCCCCCCCCCCCCCCCCCCCCCCCCCTTTCGATCATATTGTAAAACCTACTGACGAGAAAATTGTCTCTAAATATAATACAAAATCAATCGTGAAAGCACAATATTCTTAATTCGGAAGCTTCCGTAGATAAGATGCTGATATTTTACAATATGTACGTATATATGCCGAAAATTGAGACTTTGTTTATCGTATTTATTTAAAATCTGCTGACAATTTATGTTAAATAATGAAAAACTAAAAATTTGGTAAAATTGCAGTAAATATCGATAGCTGCTGTGACCATGACCTATTACCAAGTAGCTTCAAAATCAAATAGGGTTTCCCTTCATAGACACACTATCAACCTAAGATTGGTAAACAACTGGTTTATAGCTCAGAAGATACAGTCTGGAATCGAAAATATTCCAAAAATGTCACCATCAAGTTATCGGCAATGTGACCTTGACTTTTGACCTACAGAGCCCAGAATCTATAGGTCTTGTTTTTTCTTCTTCAATTGGTCCATAGGGAATCTATATTTTCCCACATTTGCTTGTAGATTGTTACTGTGACCCTACCTGTGACTAAGAAATCTCAAATGCAATAAAGGTCATTTTCACCCACAAGACCCATTATCTAACTATGATTGGTATAGAGATGATTTATAGTTCACAAAATCTTGTCTAGAAACGATACATTAACCAATATTCAGAATACTTCTAAGCACTGTGACCTTACAATTATTAGAAAGGAGGGGGCTTTTTCTCTCTAACGGGTATTTCAAGCTAAGTTTGAAGAAGATTGGACATATAATTTCAAAGATGTCATCCAAAAACCAAAATTTTGGTCTGAATTCAGTGTTTTGGTTGAAGCTATGACCTTGACCTTTGTTTAGGTGACCTTATAATCGGCAGGAATCCTATTCACCCGATGCGCGAAAATCATACCAAGTTTGGTATTGGATGCACATATGGTTGTTCCAAATTCCATTCTGCTGTGACTTTTAACCTTTAACATGCCCATGTCCCAAGGGACATTCTCAAACGAAGTTTCATAAATATATTGTTTAAGAATGAAATGATTTTGTCTGGCAACCAAAATGTTGAAAACCTTATGGCATTCATCATATGATAATTATATAGGAACAACTACACTTAATATTCGAACCAAAAGCTAACCAATGAATCATGAAAATGAGGCCATAGTCTAATTTTACAGCTCTTTTTTTATAGTTTGCATTTTACTCTCAGTAAATAAGAAACTTACATAAACACAAACTTAATACTGAGCATTTGAACAGCAAGGAGGTCAAGGTCAGGTGATTCTTGTCAGAGGACATGTATACTGTACAATCACACTATATAAGAGGACAGTAAATAGCTTACCTACTCATGATATAGGAGAAACTTACCTAAGGGAGCTACCATTTGATTTTTATGGGGGGGGGCTAGGATGAAAAATTTTGTCCTGCATTTTTTTTAGTTGTAATCTCTGTCCTGCCATTTTATTTTTCACTCTCTTCGGTCCTGCCTTTTTTTTTATTAGTTTATCCTGACTTTTTTTACATAAATTGTCATCCTGCCTTTTTTTTTGCCAAGTTGCTCATCCTGCCTTTTTTTTTGACATAAACTCCTGTCCTGCCTTTTTATTTCAAATTTCATCCTAGCCCCCCCGTAAAAATCAAATGGTAGCTCCCTAAGCTAAATCTTCTTTGCAGTGTTTTGTGGATTGTTGTTTGTTTTTTTCATCTTCTTGCCTTTATATCCATGGTTTGTCCTGTTTTAGCTACCTTTTGGATTTTGATTGACCCTTAGTATCTTCTCCCAATTTTTGACAATCATTCTATAAACCAATCATAGTTCATCTGTATCCAAGGAATTGCTTTTGGTGAAAAAATGAAGTCTGTTTAACAAAATCAGTGAACCATGGCAATGAAGTAAAAGTAGAAAGCAATATGCTAGATATAAACTTCATACAATAATTAAGCCATCTATATACAAAGATGTTGTCAAACTCTCTTCCAGCTAAATTTTCAGTGTTATTACAGTTAAAAACTAAAGTTCTTTCAGTGTATAGATTATCAGAAGAGCTTTAAAAAGTTGAGTATAATTTGCTGTATCTGTAGTTATTTATAAAATATGTAATCATCTTGGAATGCATCATTTTTTTTGTAGTTTTATTGGCATTATACAAACATTCAGCACTATAGGCTATTTCATGGTGGTCAGTTTTTATTGGTGGAGGAAGCCAGAGTGCCCTGAGAGAACCATTGACCTTCGCAAGGTAAACTGACATTCCTAGTCAATTAAGATTGGAGTTGAGCCCACCTGCCACGCGAGGGATTCTAACTCACAACCTCAGTGTAACAGGCTAGTGATACAGAAGTTGGACTTCTTAGACCAGTCTGCCACTGAGGCCCATTCAAATAATAGAAGTCATAGTATGATTCCTTTATGAGACATCTGTTGTCTTTTCCAAGTTATAATTCACACTTTGATATCAGAAACTTCCTAACACTGGTATGTATGGACTTATTTATACTATCTGTTAAGATCAACTTGGTGACATAATCATTGGTAACAATACTTTTGTGTTGCTTTTTTTATTGAATGTTAGAGTTCGAAGCAATTAACTAATTGCCAAATAAAAAAAATAGATAATATAAAATGAACTTTATTGTACAATGTATCACAGCCAGTAAAAGCTAAATATAAATAACAACATAACATAACAAACAATTTTAACAAGCAAAGTCTCGTTCTCTCTCTCTCTCAAATCTGGATTGCTCTGGATATAACATACAGTAACTCACAATATTGCTCGGTTTAATTTCATGAAAAAAATCTTCTAGAATTCAGTGGCTTGCTTTCTCTTTTTTCTCTCATTAAATTTTATACTTGTATTAAAATAACAACAGGATCTTCAAAATGGATATCACATTATAAATGTAATATCACTACAAGATACTTTACATCAAATACCAGATCATCCATCAATAAATATGATACTGATAGCTTGAACTACAGAAACTTTCTTCTCTGGCTTGCAACTAGATAATGATAATAGATGATCTAAGTTTGAAGAACTAACACCGCCACTTTTATTTAACTACTGGTACCTCAATTCATCTCCTGTCAACAGTGTTCACCTTCTTCTAACAAAATTAAATATCATTTTTAAACATGTAACAACATACACATGAATTAATAGTTATATAATACAGATATTTGAAAATAAAAATATCATTAATATTGTAAACAGTTTATTTTTATGTATTTTCTGTAAATTGTGTGCAAAACAAATGCAAAAAAATAATGTAAAGTGTATTTTTAAAAATTAGTCAAACAGGTATATATACACCTATATGTGCATCTGGATTTTCATATTACAATATGAATATGATATTGTCAGTAAAATCAGGGAATGTTTTACAATTTACAAAGTGTAGATTATTAATATACTCCATCATTTCTATTTATTGTGAATATTTATTCATTATACCACAATAATAGACTTCATAACTAGTTTAAATAGATTTTAATCAGCCTTTTGAATAGTTGACTATCTGATTCTTCTGTATTATGCAACCTGAACGGATTTCATTGCTAATTCTAATGCCTCATCAGCACCTGATGTTGTGTTTTCATCATCAGTCTGAAAAACGAAAAAAAATATGTAATGAATCATATATTCTCAACTTAAAGGGGCATTAGCTACGAGATATAGAAAATAATATATTATTTTTTTTTGTTAAATTTACAAAGTGTAGATTATTAATATACTCCATCATTTCTATTTATTGTGAATATTTATTCATTATGTTGTGTTTTCATCATCAGTCTGAAAAACGAAAAAAAAAATGTAATGAATCATATATTCTCAACTTAAAGGGGCATTAGCTACGAGATATAGAAAATAATATATTATTTTTTTTTGTTAAATTTACAAAGTGTAGATTATTAATATACTCCATCATTTCTATTTATTGTGAATATTTATTCATTATGTTGTGTTTTCATCATCAGTCTGAAAAACGAAAAAAAATATGTAATGAATCATATATTCTCAACTTAAAGGGGCATTAGCTACGAGATATAGAAAATAATATATTATTTTTTTTTGTTAAATTTACAAAGTGTAGATTATTAATATACTCCATCATTTCTATTTATTTTGAATATTTATTCATTATGTTGTGTTTTCATCATCAGTCTGAAAAACGAAAAAAAATATGTAATGAATCATATATTCTCAACTTAAAGGGGCATTAGCTACGAGATATAGAAAATAATATATTATTTTTTTTTGTTAAATTTACAAAGTGTAGATTATTAATATACTCCATCATTTCTATTTATTGTGAATATTTATTCATTATGTTGTGTTTTCATCATCAGTCTGAAAAACGAAAAAAAATATGTAATGAATCATATATTCTCAACTTAAAGGGGCATTAGCTACGAGATATAGAAAATAATATATTATTTTTTTTTGTTAAATTTACAAAGTGTAGATTATTAATATACTCCATCATTTCTATTTATTGTGAATATTTATTCATTATGTTGTGTTTTCATCATCAGTCTGAAAAACGAAAAAAAATATGTAATGAATCATATATTCTCAACTTAAAGGGGCATTAGCTACGAGATATAGAAAATAATATATTATTTTTTTTTGTTAAATTTACAAAGTGTAGATTATTAATATACTCCATCATTTCTATTTATTGTGAATATTTATTCATTATGTTGTGTTTTCATCATCAGTCTGAAAAACGAAAAAAAATATGTAATGAATCATATATTCTCAACTTAAAGGGGCATTAGCTACGAGATATAGAAAATAATATATTATTTTTTTTTGTTAAATTTACAAAGTGTTCAATCATTAATGAAAGTGAAATAGTGATACAATAATTTGATTTTAGAAGCCAGTTTGTATCATTTTTTTCAAAATAAGCAAAGAAACATTGCTAATGAATTATTCACTTTTTTCAAGTGAATAATTCCACCTAATTAAATCCATATTCATGTGAACTTCAACTGAACCCCTTAGCTAGAGATGGGTTATGCATGAACTAGGCATGTTCAGCTATTAAAAAGAAAAGAATGTCAGCATTGGAAGTGAAACAATATGACTGTTGGCAGTCATCGGAGGTCACCTCGACGGTTAATTAGATGGCGTCTAGACTAAAATACACACAAAATGCTGATACATATTATCGAGTCCGTGCATCGTAAATTGTTTATTTTAGACTTTTTATAATTTGGATATACCTTTTAGTATGTTATAAATCAAATATGAGAATTTGAGTCAAATCAGTGTAGATCAATTTGACAGCTAATGCCCCTTTAAATTGCTCAAAACATTTATCTTAAAATAAATCTAATATTATTATATATAGTACATAGCCATTTCTTGAGTATGTGCCAGGAAAACCATCAATCTAATGTTGATAAAGGACCAATTCAGAAAAGGAACATCTCTGTGTTGGACGTTTCAATTAGCCCATACATCATTTATAAGGATGCTAATACTGCACAAAGCAATTCATGTAGAAAAAAGTGAAATTTCTAAATTTAGGCATTTAACCAAGTATCCGACACTAACACCAAATTCTCAATAGATAAAAATCCTAATTGCAATCATTTTGTCACAAAGTTAAGGAAAATGATTATATTTTCTTTATTCTTTTTTATTATTATTAGGGAATCTTTGCTAATCCAGCCACTCATGTATCCTCTCTTACAATATACCTTCTCCCTGTAACCTCCCTTTTTTTTTATCTATACTCACATCAAGATCCAATAAAATAAGTTCCACTAGTTTTTTCACTTGTTTTGGATCAGCCAACAGAGCACTTTCCTTTAGTTCATACTCCTTCTTCAAAAGTCTATGTTTCTTCAAAGAAGCTCGATTCTCCTTGGAACTCTTCTCATAAAACCTAAATCACAAATATACATTTTCAATAGCAATGATACAGCACACTGAAGGTAAGATATTTATAAGCGATTTGAGTTTTACACATTCTACACTTTACAGTATAACATTTCTAAAATTAACAGATGCTTTATTTCTATAGTCAAAGTGTTCAATGTTTTATCTCTGCATTCTTGACATGTAACATTGGCAGATTATATCCTTATAGGTCAAATTAAACAAAACATTAAAATATTAACAGAAACTTCCTCTGCATTGTTGTCCTGATTTATTTGCATGCTAAATGCAACTGGACAACCAATAATAAATCACTTTTGTTCTGTGTCTTTTGGAAAAAAATTCTTTATAACTATGTATGCATATTTATCAGTAGATTATTTCACGAAAGCTTTTGTTTATAATCTAATACATTTTTACTGAGTTAATATTAAAGTTGTTGACAACTTCCTATATCTTAAAGCAATACAGACCATATTTTTCAAATTCTATTTTCTTTTTATAATCTACAAAATACCTGAAAACATATATGATTGATTGATTGATTGATTGATTGTTTTTTGTTGTGTAACATCACTTTCAGCACTATTAGCTATTTTATGGTGGTCAGTTTTTATAAGTGGAGGAAGCCTGAGTGCCGGGGAGAGAACCACGACCTTCCACCGGAAAACTGACCATCCAAGTCTATTTAGATTGGAGTCAAACACACCTGCAACTTGCATGGTTCAAATTCAGAACCTCAGTGTTGACATGCTAGTGATACAGTAGTTGACCTACTTAGACTACTCGGCCACTGAGGCCCTGTGAAAATATATAAAGGTTACATCTAAATTAGATACTTACACTTCATACTGTCTCTGCATATTCCTGACATTCTTAAAGGATTCCTTGATAACCTCTCTGTATGTTGGTGTATCTAATGTTAGCACAGTTAAGGAAAAATCACTCAGAGACTACAACACCCTGGTGGGAAAATGTGTTTCAAAACAAAAGGGGGAGGGGTTTATAAATCTGTTATAATGTATGCAAACTAAAAAAAAAAAAAAAACTAAAATCATTTTTAAAATAAGAATTATGTTGACCAAAATATTTAATTGCTTAACTTTATATGGACCAACAGAATGACGAATAGATGAAAAACAAACCAAATAACTCTATAGTAGAAGTATAATAAACAGCTGTGCAAATGAGAGAATGATTGTACGATTGCTATTATTATCATGTTTAAAGTCTCACAAGTCTAGAAAAAATTATTAGAAACTTGACTAAACAAAAAAATAGGAAGTTACCTTTATTGGTTGAGATTTCTTGATAACTTAATAGTGAAATTGTTATCATAGAGTTTTTGCTCCATGTTGAAGGCCTCACTGTGACTTTGAAATGAAGAACAGTGATTTAAGCATTGTTCCTTTTAGACTGTTGTTTTCATGTGTGTGTAGTTATTATGTTTTCATGTGTGTGTAGTTATTGTGTTTTCATGTGTGTGTAGTTATTATGTTTTCATATGTGTGTAGTTATTATGTTTTCATGTGTGTGTAGTTATTGTGAGTCATGTATGTGTAGTTATTGTGAGTCGTGTGTGTGTAGTTATTGTGAGTCATGTGTGTGTAGTTATTGTGAGTCATGTGTGTGTGCAGTTATTGTGAGTCATGTATGTGTAGTTATTGTGTGTCATGTGTGTGTAGTTACTGTGCATCATGTGTGTGTGTAGTTATAAGTCCTGTGCGTGTAGTTATTATGAGTCATGTGTGTGTGTGTAGTTACTATGAGTCAATGTGTGTAGTTATTATGAGTCATGTGTGTGTGTAGTTATTATGAGTCATGTGTGTGCAGTTATTGTGAGTCATGAATTGATACACCTTATTGCTTCATTTCCATGTGAAAACTAACTCAAAACAATTTTCACTAAAAATTAGTTTTCTCTCTTAGCATAAGTCTTTATCAAGAGGATATGGAGGTAGATTTTCCATTTCTGTCCTTGTCACTCGGACATTTTGTCCACTGTCATACTGCAGGTGCTTCATATACATATAATGTGACAGTAAGGGACTCTGGCCATTTATGTTGAAAGAACATCGACTGAATGAAGGACCAACACAGGCTGGATGGGACTGAAAAAGAAGACAAAATATTCATCAAACAGCATGGAACTCTGATCATGATGTTAGAAAGGCTGGATGGGACTGAAAAAGAAGATAGATATTAAAAAACTTTTACCTATTAAGAATGGTTTAAATTTTATTTATTCTTCCAAAGTACTTTATATTTGCTAGATAAAATGAATTGCATTAGCATATATTAAGTGATTGAACCTGAAATCAGGAATCTTATCAATATATTGGTAGATAATAATGCATTAATGTAACTGAGAAAAGATAACAATTGATTTTCTGTTCATGCTGAATGATAAGTTTCTTTAATTGACAGATTAGAATCATTTAATAAAATTGTTATAAACTGGCTGTTTCTGTTTTGGTCCTAGTGTAGATTCTCAATCAGCTGTCTTGGCCATGCAGTGACTCTCCAAGTCTTGGGAACAGTGCAGCTAACCTGGAATCTATATCAAGTCCAATACACAAACAGCCAGTTAATACCACTATAATACATATAGTTAACACTGTCGCCAGATTAACATCCTTCTGTCTCGTTCTTTTATTACTGGTGAGACAAAAATTGGAGTCACAGGAAAAATTTATAGGTTTCTACTATCTACTAAATGTTATCTTCCAAACAAGATAAAAAGGTTTCATGCTCTTACCTCCTGAACCATCCTCTCAGACATCTTGGATGGAACTTTCACAGCAGAATGTGATGTAGATGTTTTTGTATCATGTTTTTCATACATATCTTCTAGAGTTGTCTCCCTTATAGGTGTCAAGGCATCCATCAGTTTCCTGGGATCCACTGGTCGCTGTTTCGGCTGACGCTTTCCAGGAGAGGATTTCATGGAGTCAGAGGAGAAGTCAACAGTTGATCCATCTCTTGATGAGCTTGCAGATCCAGAAGTTTTAATCTTGGATGATGTAGATGCAATTGAGCTTCTCTTTCTGTGGATTCCACGTCTCCTTCTCCCACCAAATCCACTTGCCATGGACACGGATTGGTTGAGGGATGTTGTGGAGGTGTACTGACTAGGTGAATGGCTAGATAATAGATTGTCTAAGAAACTCGAATTGATATTGGAAGATGCTGAAAAAAAGAAAGGATATTTGTTTGCTTTTACTACATTTATCTTATAAAATTATGCAAGATTAAAATCCCAGTTGCTTAAGGACTGTCTTAACAAAATCATTTACAATCCGTAATGAACAGAAAATTAATGCAAAGAAAACTTTGCTCATGGATTTAAACATAAATTGAAGTGATTTATTTTATTTGATATCAATCCTGTTTCTTCATGGGATTGGTCATTTCGTTACTTTCAATGTGTAGTAATTCATCATTATTGAACAGTAGAACACACTTGAACTTACATTTTTTCTTCTGTGAGTTGATCATCTCCTCCCTAATGTTAATATCTGGAGGTTCTAGTTTACTCATGTTCCACTTCATCCACAGTCTAGGAGCTGGTTTTATACCTGTAAAAAGAAGGAGCACATATATAATACAAACTTACTTTTGCTTTTAAAAAAGCAAGTTTGGCTGTAATGTTAATTTCCAAAGCAAATTCTCCCATTGAGACAGATTATTTGGCCTGATCGACTTTTATAAACAACCATCAAATCAGATAATCAAACAAATCTGATGATGTCAGACAATAAAAAAATAAAAAGCTGTGCCATGAGTGCATGATACGCCGTCTTCCTTTTAGCTCATCTTTAAGCTTTAAATGAATTTATATGATCCATTAGAAGTACTTTGAGCACTGCTCAAATAGACCCCCAAAAAATATGACATGCACACAGTGGCACCCACTGACACATAACATAAACAATTTGACACTATTAAGGCTACTTCAAGTTTAACTAAGTTTGTGGCCTCAAGAATGTATAAAATTCTATAACGGTCCAAAGTGTGAAAAATGGACAGTTTTCAAAGATTTTCAAGGAATAAAGTTCCATAACTCAGCAATGTCATATCAGAAATTTATAAAAAAAACCAAAAGGGAGCTTGTTTCGATAGATATAAACAAGTCACCAAAGTTTCATAATAAACTGTTGAAACACAAAGGTATGTCTCGCCTGTTGGCATAAAATTCAGAAAAAGACAATCTGGTGGCCAGTAACATTGCTAATTAATTCAAAGTCCCTGGACCAACTAGTGGGTAGGGCCTAGAAATGGTTGAAAAACTGAGATGTACAAACAGCAATGTAACTTTATAGAAAATATTGTCTATTGTAAGTAGTTCCTATCAAACTAACTTAATCATAAAACTTAACATTTAAAATTGTTAATTGATTGAGAGTCACTGGACCATGACCTAGGAGGCAGGGCCTTAAAATAGTCATCAAACTGATATGTACTGATAGTAATGCAACTTTATAGAAAATAGCATTGATCTATCACAAGTAGTTCATATCAAACTAACTTGAGCAGAAAACTTATCATTGAAATTTGCTAATTAATTGAAAGTCACTGAACCATGGTCTAGGGGGTAGGGTCTCAAAATAGTCATCAAACTGATATGTACTGATAGCAATGCAACCTCACACAAAATATTATTGATCTATCACCAGTGGTTCCTATCAATCTAACTTTAGCAGAAAACTTAACATTTAAAATTTTGTAATTAATTCAAAGTCACTGGAGCATGGCCTAGGGGGCAGGGCCTCAAAATAGTTGACAAACTGATATGTACTGATAGTAATGCAACTTCATACAAAATATCATTGATCTATCACAAGTACTTCCTATCAATCTAACTTAAGTAGAAAACTTAACATTTAAAATTGCTAATTAATTCAAAGTCACTGGACCATGGCCTAGGGGGCAGGGCTTTAAAATTGTCATCAAATCCTTGTGTCTCGCTTTCCACGACTTTTGTCGCAGGTGAGACAAAAACTGCTAAAAGAGATTTAGAGTTATTGTTCCTGAAAACTGGAAAATCCCCCCTTTTTTATGGATACTCCAAAACAAAAATCAGAAATTTTAAAAATCAAAAGGGAACTTATGAGTTATTGTCCAAAGTGTTGACAACGGACGGACCAATGGACAGACAGAATACCATAATATATCCTTTAATCGGGCGTACAAAAACTAATAAGTGTGCTCATGAGAGGTTCACTTTTTGACAGGCATTTATATATTTACAAAGTTTTCAATCATTCTTCTTTCCCTCTCACTTCTGGTTGTGCTTACTTGCATGAAAAAAACTTTCATCTCCTAAATACTATGTCTCAGGGTAAACTTATTTGTTGATCTGTTCCTGAACATATACCTGTACCTTGTTTTCATGCAACCTTTCCTAAACAATCTGTTATCCAGTCATACACTAGTGTGATTATATCTATAACAAACCTGTTGTTCAGTCATACATTAACATGATTTTATCTATAACAAACCTGTTATCCAGTCATAAACTAGTGTGATTACATCTTCTTTAAACTGTTCCCCAAACTGTCTATAGGAGTCTGGGAAAGAGTGGCAGTATCCTGCATATATAGCCTGGGATATTAAACTGGCATAATCCTGTAAAAAGAATCAGATACTTGTCATCAAAACATAGACATTATACACTGGAATAATTCTGTTAAATAAATCATAAACAATATTCAGACATACATAACCAGGCTGTTGGTTTTCCCTTTTGATTTGTTTATCATTTAGTCATTCTATTGCCTTTTATATTATAGCTTAATATATATATACATTACTGGTTTTGCTCATTGTTGAAGGCTCTACAGTGCCCTATACCAGTAATTGTCTACATCCACATCCTTTAGTCTCTGGTGGATAGTGGTCTCATTGGCAATCATACTACATCTCCTTATTTTTATAAAATGGATATCTGATATTAAATTACAATTTCCTGTAAAGAAGTTGTCCATATAAAACCCTTATAACATTATCCCCTGTGGTTAATTCTGACAAAAAGTATAGTATTAAAGGTAGTGTTATATGTATTATACCACACTTACTGAACTAGGGGTATAATGCACGTTTTTTTGTTTGTTCATTCATTAATCTATTCAACAACTCACCATCTGTTTGTTCACTAGTACATCTATACTTTGCATCCAAACCAGATGCTGCATTTCAGTGAAACTTGCATAAAATCTTTAAAAACTTATCCAATTTTACACCTTGTTTTTTTCAACTACATTTCAATTAAAATTTGATACTACTGGAAATGGCAAAAACATAATTATATGCCATATAAACAGATGCAGAACAGCAGTAAAGTGTTAAAATGACACTCAAAAACCTACACTGTCTACAAGATCGAGTTAACTTAAATATAAAATAAATCTTACAGTGAAAAAGACATCTCTGAATCTGGGATGGTTAACAAACATCATCAGTTTGACGAAATTATGTGCACATCTGTTAAACAATCGAACCTGGGAATTCTTACTGGACTGGTATTTGTCTAGGAACAGGTACCAGAACAAATCCTGTAAAAATTGAAATAACCAATACTGTTGATAAATTCATAACATGTCATAAATAAATAAACCAGAATATAATGGAATGAATATATTAACACTGAATTACATAAAATCTTCTACAGTGAGTTTCTGTTACTGAGAGAGAGCAAAATTTAAGAAATAAAAATCGACCCATTGCTAACAGTACTTACCTGGAATACTGCTTGGGATGCTTCACAATAAAACCACTTCTCATAGTATGGTTTGTAAACTGGCTGAAAAAATCAATTATCATTCTCAAGTAAAAGTTAAAAAAGCAATTACCTAATTACGATTCCAAACTTTAGTGTATAGTTTTAAAGAAACCAATACAAACATACTATAGTGAGTGTGTGATAAGTTGAAAATTGCCTTAAACATGTTAAAGCTGACTGCTAAAGTCCTGTAACTCTGTAAAATTACAAGAAAAAATTATAAAAAACAAAATGAATTTTCTTCCATCAATCCTAATATTGTGTTAAAATTTCATGAGATTTGGTTAAAGTAAATTTAAGTAATTATACAAAGTGTTGACTGAAGAAAGGACGGTCAATGGTATATCATAATACAGGCTTTCATAAAAACTGAGCATTGCCTGATCCTAAAGCTTGTCAGGGAAGATTTGATCTGTATATTAATCAAATTGATTGTCAAGTTAATTCAAATAATCTCCTAAATAAGGCCCCTATATAGGATATGTCGTTACTGTTGTAAAAGCTTTAAATTTTCACAAGCTAACAGTAGAAACATTTTAATAGTACCTTTTAAACTACTGCTTTGGAAACCCTTCACTAGTATCAAATTGCACACAGGAGTAGTATATTTCAATTTGTTGTTAAACTCCTCAATAGAGGACATATCTTACAGTTACATTTCTTTTCCAGAAGGAAAGGCTTCATGATATATTTATCATCACAAACATCTGTACGGTATGGAAGTCAGTACAGTCAACATCAATAATAAATACACAAACTATAACTCCCATAATGCATTAAAAACATGAATAATGAAAATACCACTAATTACCACAGTATATGTAATAATCTACGTCAGGTAATAAAACACCTTTAAATCTATAAACAATTCAAGAAAAACTATACATGTATATCTTATGATAAAAATAGAAAAACAATTACATTATATTAAACAAGAGCAGGCACACTAACATGTCTCACCTGCTGAAACTCATACCAATGCTGTTGACACATGCATAGTCAATGAAAAACATATCTTAATTACCCTGATAACTTAACCAATTCTTTGGAGCATGAAAATGTGGTGAGGGTCAAATGTTATATACCAAATCAACATATCATTACCACAAATAACAAACATTGTTGACTCACAGTTCTTTGTAAACCGTGATGTTTACATACCTAATCCAACAAGAGTGCACATGCTGAAACCTCTCGCCTGCTTTACTCACCATTGATTTTATGTTGAAAGTCTTAAAGATAAAGGTTTTAAGTATCACATAAACTTATATTTTTAAAGATCTATGAAAATGAGGTAAAGGTCAGATAAATCCTGTCAGACAGCCACATACAACTTACAAATTTTTTAAACACCAAATATAGTTGACCTATTGCTTATAGTACTTGAAAAACACACCAAAACACAAAGACTACCGTTGACCAATGAACCATGAAAATGAGGTCAAGGTTAGGTGAAACCTGCCAGACTGACATGTACCCATTACAATCATTATACAACCATTCCATACACCACATATAGTTGACCTACTACTCATAGTATTTAAGAAACGGACCAAATCATGTAACTTTAACCTTGATCACTGATCCATGAAATGAAGTCGATGTCAGGTGAACTCTGTCTGGCAGACATGTAGACGTTGCAAAGAACCCATATACCAAATATAGTTATCCTATTACTCATAATAAGTTATCCTAAAATAATTTACTGTAAATTCAGAAATTATTGCGTGCATTTATTATTGCGATTTTTTAAAAAAAGGACAAAAATGCGAGATTAATTAATGCGATATCAGAAAAATCTTCATACAGATATATATATCAGATATCAGATTGCGAGTTCTTATTATTGTGATACTCAACAAGTCGCATTATTCGCATTAAAAAAAACCTCTCAATAATTTCTGAATTTACAGTACTCATAAAAAGTGAGAAATTCACATGACAAAAAAACTACAATTTTTTTTCAAGCAGTCACTGAACCATGAAAATGAGGTCAAGGACAATTGACATCTGACAGTTGGAAACTTCATAACATAAGGTATCTGCATACAAGATATGAAGTATCCAGGTCTTCTACCTTCTGAAATATAATAAAAGCTTTATACAAATAGTTTATGCAGCCACCACTGGATAGAAATACATAAGTCTCGCATACTGTGACTTTCGTGACAGGCGATACAAAAACCTGACAAAGGGACCAAAACAATGTAAAAGTCCTGCGATGTATGTCGGATGGAGCCATTTTAAACTTGCAGTGAGGTGAGAGTTTTTTTACTCCGTGTTGAAGGTCTCACTGTGACTTTGAGATGAAGAACAGCAATAAAAGCGCTGTTCCTTTGCTTTATGTGTGTTTTTCGCTGTGCATGTACTGATTTTGTATCATGGATGGATACCCCATATTCTTTGTTTTTCTAATATATATTCCTTTCAATAAATCCACATACCAAATGCTACCAAGGATAGCTACTGAATATAGATTTAATATCTTCAATAAAATTCATGGTACCAATTTTACTGCACCAGATTTGCATTTTGGCCAGGTATGTCTCTTAAATGCTGCTCAAGGCCAACATATTTGAAATCCAAAACATAACACATATGCTGAAGAGCTGATGAAACTAAAGTGGACCTAAAGTAAAGCCAATTCTGGACAAAAAATAAAGAGCTAGGCATGTGGTAGATACTCATTCTTTACTTTTTAATGATTTCAAAACATTTATTACAGCAAATTTAAATAAAACACTTTGCCCTTTGTCACCGGGGCATTATATTATGTTAGGCCAGGTAACAATAAGATTCTGACAAGGTCCATTTCCTCCATTTATAAATTTTAAATGAAAGTCGAAAAGGGTGAAGGGAATAAGTTATTAAAGTATTTGTGACTGGTTATAAATGTTGCAATAGCTGCCAAGGCAATACCTATGCCTTGCTTCTGATGGCTGTTGATACAGGCAAGTAAAACAATTAGGAACAATTTCTACTGCTGTCGTATTATACAAAATACTCATAGGTTACAATATTCCAAATCACTGTTAATATTATATTAAATATGAAATAAAGGGATATTGCATGCATATAACACAATTATTTAATAATATAAGCCAAACCAAGGTAGTATTGATAAATAATGGAAATGAATATCTGAATATAGTACATATTGTTTTTCTTTTGAACAGCAACTTTTTATATATATCACAAACCAAAATTAAATCCAGAATTTCACTGAAATGAGCCAATGGTTCTATAATCTTGCATACAAGGGTTCAGATCAGTGAAATCTCCAGTGAGCCAATACTTCTCAAAATAAATTATTTGTGTTGTGATGACAACATTGACAATCGGGTAATTGGAGCTAATTTGCTGGAATGGCGATTTATGTTTAAAAAAATGTCAGATTGTACAATTGCTGATGATTTCTGTGGTGTGTTGTATACAGAATAAGAAAAGTTTAATATCCCAGCTTCTGAACACTTCCAGTTTCAAGCTGAAGTTAATTTTGTTATGAAGAGTCAAAAATGGCTTTTAGACAACAAATCATTTCCAATGGAAACATAAATGACATGAAATTATTGCAAAGAATTTCCGTAAATATTTGAGAAAAAGGTATGATCAGAAAGCATCCGAAATTTTAAATAAAAGGAATATAAATTAAGATAATATGAAAGCATTTTCCACAACGTTCATATAATTGACTTGAATAAAGACGTATGTACACTTGTATGCAAATTTGTCCACCATTACTTAAAATCACACAAGTTCCCGTAAAATTTGACATCACAATTTAAAAAAGTTGACGTCATAATTAAAAAGTGATTGTTGCTTGACGTCAGAAGGTTATTCGTAGCAGATCTAAGGTCATTCGGAGACAAAATTCAGCTAAATACCAAAAGTGTAAATACGTTTATTTACCACCACAAGGAGGGAATCAAAATTAGTATCAGGGATAAAATATGTATAATATCAAACCTTTGTTTTAAAGTACTATTTGAAAATGAAAAATGTGAGATTTCCACATAATCACAACAGTTGCATTACACTGCAGATACAAACTATACCCTCCAATATAAATAAAATGTCACTGTTCATCAGAAATAACATAAACTGCCAAAAAAAAATGACCAAATGTTTTCTCCCTTTATAAATGACTATGAGTTATGTCCCTTTATAGATACTATACCTTGTTTGATCCCCTTTTCTGTTCAAGTTAATATAGAAATCATTATAAAATATGACCATTTCATTGAAAAGCAATTAAAGAAAAGCAATTTACAAACATTGAATAATGAACTATTTAATCAGTATTTAAATCTAAAGAGTCTATGTGCATCTTCCATAATTGCCATTCTGCAACATTATAAACTAGAATATAATTCATGACTAAACTTCTCTTTTTTGTTGATCATTTTTTTGTTTACAGATTCTCTCTTCACAACTTCTTAAGTATTAAAGCAATCTTATAAACTGTACATCTGTTGTTTAATTTGCACATAATGACTGTGCATCTGTTAAAATGTAAAAAGTATGTACATCTTAAAAGATGCATATAATCTGTACTTTTGTAATGATATATATGAACTGTGTTTATTCATCTTACAGATATACAGTTTATATACATTTTCACAGATGTACAGTTTAAATGCATCTCAATGGATGTACATTTTATATGCATCTTAATAAATGAACATCAAGATTGCTAAAAAATTGTCATTTAACAACAATAATTAATATATGGAGTTGACTGACAATTTCAGCCATGTGACTTATTTGTAAATCTTTTCCTACTAATCATTTATGCCATTTAAAAAGCTTCTCATATTCATTACAGATTTCAAGATAAACAAAACACAAAATTTTGGTAAAAAACGTTATTTGAGGACAATAACTCCTTCAAGGAGTCAATTGCCAATTCGTCCATGTTGGCCTATTTGTTGAACTTGTCTTACTTTTCATGTTTGTCGTTTAAAGTTTCTCTCTTTTTATTACTGTTTTCAAGATAATAACCAAAAACACAAAAAAATTGGTGAAAAACCTTTATTTAAGGGCAATAACTCCTACTTATTTGTAGATCTTGTTTCTAATAACTATCATATCTAAATTTTATCTCTATCCATTATACTTTTCAAGATAATAATCAAAAACAAAAATAGTAACATATATTATCATTTAAGGGCAATAACTCCTTTTAAGGAAGCGTCTTAACAGTATTGGTGTAAATGGACTGTAGGTAGATATCAACATTCTAAACATTTCTGTTCCGTCAGATCTTCTCTATATACTGTGGATTCATTATTATTCGTGAGTTACCAGTTTTCGCTGATTTCGTGTGTATCTGTGAACCACGAATTTAAATGTTCAACGAAGAAGGAATTCTCTATTGGCTTTAATGCAGACTTTTGCAAAACCATGAAATCAAAAATCAACGAAAATATGATATTCCAAAATCCACGAAAACTGGTACCCACGAAAATTAATGAATCAACAGTATATAAATGAAAGTTAACAGACAACAGTTGACAGATGCCAAGTGATAGTAATAGCACACAAAGGCCTTGTGGGCCTCAGTGAGCAAAAAAAAATGAGTTCAGAACTTCAGATTGATCAATTCTAGCAGATGTCACATCAATTAGGAGGGGTTGGATCCAGGGTTCATGCTGGGAAAGGGGGTAAATGTCAGTAATAATTAAAATATTTCATAGCATAGTGAGGTGAAAAATTGTTTGACAATTTAAGTTTTTTCTACATCACATCCCATTCCAAATCTACCGCTCTCAATTTGCTTTAAAATATAAATACATTTGTAAATGTTCAAACAATTCTTCTGTTCACCATCATGTAGGAATATATGAACTGAATTTTTTTTATATTAAATATTAATATTCACCTGTGATATTCCCTAAAGGTAAAATTTTGTATAGTAGGTGATTTTCGACTCTATAAGAATAGGTTACACATAACAATAAAATAATTATCTGAGTATCGAATCTGAAAAAATGTAGCAGACTTTTCTTTTTCAGGGGGTAACGTGATTTTCTCATATTGAAAAAAGTTTCTAGATTAAACCTGTGATCCAGGTTTATCTGTTCAGAATTTTGTGTAGGGTTTCATGTTTCTATTTTGTTATGAAATGTAGGATTCCCTACACCTGATAAAATTCAAAAAGATATTTTTCAATTCCTATTTTTTGTCAGGGATTCTTTTTCTTTCACTTAATCTTAAATTTTCAATATATGAAAATATATAGTAAGCTATTCTATTTACCTTTTTGTACAGTTCCATTTGAGCCTCTGTTGCCTTTTTCAACATTTCTATGGCTGGTATATCATCAGGCAAGGGAGTTAACTCAATACCATCATATCCAGGATACTGGAAAAGCTGTAGACAATGCAGAGTATTGTGATTATTATAGTTGTAAGAACAATATAATATGTAAATTATTAACCCAATCAAAATAGTCAGTATATATTTCATAATAAATTATAATAAAGTTTTTGTAGTCTTCATAAAAAATAGATAGCTGATCATGTTTAGCAACAATCTGGTTACATAAATCAAAGCTGACAAGGTCATTTCATGGTATGCTTGACCTAATGACTTTATTTAAAGAAGACCCAAGATACTAAGTTATTATAATAGTTATAAATGTTTGAGTATCTATGAAAAGTTAAACGTTCTTTTGTCATATTATGAAATCCTGAATTGACTCTTAAAAATTGTATGAAATGACTTATGCACAGAAAAATATGCCATGTTTGAATTTCCAGTCACAAACCTGAAAATGAGTTGGGTTGAGAAGTAAATTAAAAAAAAAATTATCTTAAAGCCTAAGACACAATGGTTTTGACTGAGACATAAACAAGAGGCTCTCAAGAGCCTGAATCGCTCACCTGTATTTCAGAGGATAAGATTTTTAAATGTTAGCATACTTGATGAACAAATTGTGTAAAATTGTCTATAAAGGGCAATAACTCCTTAAGGGGTCAATTGACAATTTTGGTCATATTAACTTTTTTGTAGATCTTATTTTGCTGAACACTATTGCTGCTTACAGTTTATATACATCTATAATAATATTCAAAATATTAACAAAAAACTGCAAAATTTTGTTAAAACTACCAATTCGGTGGCAGCAACCCAACAATGGGTTGTTCGATTCGTCTGAAAATTTCAGAGCTGATAGATCTTGACCAATTGAACAATTTCACCCCACGTCAGATTTGCTCTAAAAGATTTAGTTTTTGAGATATAAGCCAAAAACTGCATTTGACCCCTATGTTCTATTTTTAGCCATGGCGGCCATGTTTGTCGATGGATCAAAACTTCGAATATAATTTATAAACAAGATACCCTAAGGAACATTTAGCTAAAGTTTGAAGGTATTTGGCCCAGTAGTTTCAGAGGAGAAGATTTTTGAAATAGTTTACGACGACAGACGACGACGACAGGCGACGCCGGACGCCAAGTGATGGCATAAGCTCACATGGGGCCCTTTAGGCCCCGGTGAGCTAAAAAGAAAGTAAAAATTTTCCATATCAAATATACTGTACCTCTACAAATTTAGGCTTTCCTGTGTCTTTCTTTATCTGAAAAAAAAAGAAAAAAGTTAGACCTGGTTACAGCTATTTTAAAAACGATTGGAATATTATTTTAAAATCATTATTTCATAACAAGATTTTTATTAAGATAGGAAATAGAGGAAGGGATACAAAGGAAAACTTTCAGATAAAATACAGAAATAACTAACATATCAAAGTTACTGCCTTTCTTGTTTAGAATAAGGATATGTGGATGCCAATGAGACAACTTTTCACTAAAGTTCAAATATGCTCTTCATTGTCTATTAATGGAAAAGCAGAAATATTTAGATTTATCTTAACAAGCCATATGTGTATCCTAAGCTTGTTCAAATTCCATTACCATACAAATTTTCCACAAAGCTGTATCTAAAGTCAATGAGAAATGCATGCTTCACGTTCAATAGAACCTGCATGCAACCAAGTTACACTACTAATACTAGCAGTCAAGCTGGATGGTCAAAACCATATTTGTTTTTCATAACATATAATGTAAGTCAGTAGCTATATAAATATATTTCAATTGTCCAAAAACATCAGGAGTTTGTCATCAGATATTATTCTACAACTGTTTATCAGACAGATTGCCATACCTGGTGGTGGTTGTTTCATTTGAATTTATCCAAAATTTCATATTCATATCTATTTATTTTTTTAACTTAAGATATACAGTATGAGAACTTACAGTACTAATTTTACTTTTAGACATGCTGACTTAGGCTATATATTCTGAGAACTTACAGTACTAATTTTACTTTGAGACATGCTGACTTAGGCTATATATTCTGAGAACTTACAGTACTAATTTTACTTTGAGACATGCTGACTTAGGCTATATATTCTGAGAACTTACAGTACTAATTTTACTTTGAGACATGCTGACTTAGGCTATATATTCTGAGAACTTACAGTACTAATTTTACTTTGAGACATGCTGACTTAGGCTATATATTCTGAGAACTTACAGTACTAATTTTACTTTTAGACATGCTGACTTAGGCTATATATTCTGAGAACTTACAGTACTAATTTTACTTTGAGACATGCTGACTTTGGCTATATATTCTGAGAACTTACAGTACTAATTTTACTTTGAGACATGCTGACTTAGGCTATATATTCTGAGAACTTACAGTACTAATTTTACTTTGAGACATGCTGACTTTGGCTATATATTCTGAGAACTTACAGTACTAATTTTACTTTGAGACATGCTGACTTTGGCTATATATTCTGAGAACTTACAGTACTAATTTTACTTTGAGACATGCTGACTTTGGCTATATATTCTGAGAACTTACAGTACTAATTTTACTTTCAGACATGCTGACTTTGGCTATATATTCTGAGAACTTACAGTACTCATTTTACTTTGAGACATGCTGACTTTGGCTATATTCTTTACTCTATCACTTCTTCCTGGCAGGAATGCTAAGCAAAACAAATAACAGAAAAATATGTTAAAGCATACAAAATATTAATCTGCTAGCAGGTGCTAGGGGTCGTCTTAAACTTGCAGTGAGGTGAGAGTTTTTTTTTTTTTGCTCCATGTTGAAGGCCTTGCTGTGACTTTGAGATGAATAACAGCAATAAAAGCGCTGTTCCTTTGCTTATTGTGTGTTTTTTTGTTTTGCATGTACTGATTTTGTGTCATGGATGGATACCCCATATCCTTTGATTTTTTCTATTACACAAGTTTAAGTGTAAAATCATTTACACCAAGGGTTGATTGACAAATCAAAAGCCAATCCTGTCAGACAATGAATTTAATTTCTCATTTAAAATATTAATACCAGGGAACAATTTCATACTTTTACAATTTCCGTCGTCATCTGATGTCTTTTCTGTTTATACAGTCTTTCTTATAATAGAATTAGTGTATTGTGTTGTCCATTTGTAATAGCTGTAAGTGTACTACACTGAAGCTATGTTCCTGTAAAACATCTCTTTAAAATGGTGCTAATTTGATGGCTTTGATTATTCAATTATCATCATACAATTTGACTACAGACATTGGTAGTCTATGTGAAGCTGGTTCCTGTAAAACATCTCTTTAAAATGGTGCTAATTTGATAGCTTTGATTATTTAGTTATCACCTTACATTCTGAATAAAGACATTGGTAGAAATCTACATGTAATTGTAAAGATCAGTTCAGACAATAAAAACTACTTCAGGGATCAAGACTTTTCTGGTCAATTTTTCATTGAAACCTCTTCTTTTAATCTTTTTATTTCAGCAAAGTTTGGTTGCTTGTCACATTGACATATACAACTATATCCCACATCTACTTGTGTTCATACACTGACATATACCACTATATCCCACATCTACTTGTATTCATACATTGACATATACCACTCTATCCAACATCTACTTTTATTCATACATTGACATATACCACTATATCCCACATCTACTTTTATTCATACATTGACATGTACCACTATATCCCACATCTACTTGTATTCATACATTGACATATACCACTATATCCCACATCTACTTTTATTCATACATTGAGATATACCACTAAATCCCACATCTACTTTTATTCATACATTGACATATACCGCTATATCCCACATCTACTTTTATTCATACATTGACATATACATGTACCACTATATCCCACATCTACTTGTATTCATACATTGACATATACCACTATATCCCACATCTACTTTTATTCATACATTGACATATACCACTAAATCCCACATCTACTTTTATTCATACATTGACATATACCACTATATCCCACATCTGCTTTTATTCATACATTGACATATACATGTACCACTATATCCCACATCTACTTGTATTCATACATTGACATATACCACTATATCCCACATCTACTTGTATTCATACATTGACATATACCACTATATCCCACATCTACTTGTATTCATACATTGACATATACCACTATATCCCACATCTACTTGTATTCATACATTGACATATACCACTATATCCCACATCTACTTTTATTCATACATTGACATATACCACTATATCCCACATCTACTTTTATTCATACATTGACATATACCACTATATCCAACATCTACTTTTATTCATACATTGACATATACATGTACCACTATATCCCACATCTACTTGTATTCATACATTGACATATACCACTATATCCCACATCTACTTGTATTCATACATTGACATATACCACTATATCCCACATCTACTTTTATTCATACATTGACATATACCACTACATCCCACATCTACTTTTATTCATACATTGACATAAACATGTACCACTTTATCCCACATCTACTTGTATTCATACATTGACATATACCACTATATCCCACATCTACTTTTATTCATACATTGACCTATACCACTAAATCCCAGATCTACTTTTATTCATACATTGACATATACCACTATATCTCACATCTACTTTTATTCATATCTTATATCTCTTATAAAACCAGCTATATTATTGTCTTTACATTTTACAAAGCTGTTTATATTGTAGTGATCTGAATTCTAACTAGACTCTTTTTCTTCCAAGAGGAAGTCTTATATATATACAACAATACTATCAATTAGTACATGTAAGTCAGAATTTGCATTTACCTTAGATTATGACTGGTTCTCTAACAAACAGAAGGATTTTAGGTTCATCTGGACCTTATGGCTGTGTTTACACCTCAAAATTTACTCTGAGTACAGACAAACCTGTGTATCTGGAATAGTTTTTATGTTTAGCATACCCTACATATATAAAATTCAAATGCATTTTATGTTTTAGAAAATTAAAAACGTAACTGGATTTTGCTGTGCAATTTTTTCAATCCCTGCAGAAGATGATGAAATTAACAAACACTTGAGTTTCACTTGATATGGTCTACTCAGTGACACAGTTTAAATGACCTATTGTTGTCAGATATCTATTGTCCATGTCAATCAATACAGTTCACTTATTACCTATGGGGAAGTTCTCTCTTTCCAAACTGTGTTTATCTTGGTACCTTCTGTTGGAACCAAAAATAGTGCACAGCAAAATCCCGTTAAGTTTTTAATTTTCTAAACAAAAAATGCATTTAAATTTTATTTATCTAGGGCATGCTATGCCTTAAAACTATCCCAGATGCACAGATTTGTCTGTACTCGAGTAAAATTTGAGGTGTAAACACAGCCATTTTAGCCATAAGGTCCACATGAACCATAATCCATATATACAATAGAAGAGCCAACATGTAGTTTTAAGATAATATAAGAAGATGTGGTATGATTGCATAATGAGACAACTCTCCACAAGAGACCAAATGACACAGAAATTAACAACTATAGGTCACCGTACGGCCTTCAACAATGAGCCCATACTGCATAGTCAGCTATAAAAGTCCCGAAATGACAAATGTAAAACAATTCAAACGAGAAAACTAACGGCCTGATTTATGTACAAAATAATGAATGAAAAACAAATATGATATACAGCAACAAACGACAACCACTGAATTAAAGGCTCCTGACAGACTCCTGGGACAGGCACATACAGAATGTGGCGGGGTTAAACATGTTAGCGGGCGTCCAACACTCCCCCTTACCTGGGACAGTGGTGTAACAGTACAACATATGAAATTAACAAACTATAAAAATCAGTTGAAAAGGGCTTAACTCAGATAGATACAAAGCACAAAAACACAGAGTGGACGTGGCAGGGTACTTATACATCCCCACAACAAAAAGACACTAAGAACAGATCTGAGAGTACTCACAGTTACTTACAGCTAGTTCAAAGCCAATAACAACTAACATGTTGACTAACAAAAAAAATCATGCATCTAAGACTAAAATATCAATCAGTACACATCCAACATCCAATGGATTTAGTGTAAAGACGTCATAAACAGTCAGAGAAAAACATGACCTTGTGCAATGCCAAGATACAGGTATCGACAGATTGTAGAGCCATGAATATGCATATGTATATAAAAAGACCCTGTTTGTTTTCCCCGACAGTTATTATTTTACAATCATACTCACTTTGTTTCATCGTAAAATATCCAGCAAATTTGTTAATTTCCTTTGCTTCTTTTTCTGAAATGATACATTCAGGCGTTATGGATTTAAAAAAACTGCATAACTTATACCTAAATGAGATAAGTATAGACTTGCATAGAACAATTTCATCTCAGTATTATAAAGATTGATTGATCTTGTGTGTTAAACACACTTTTTGCAATTTTGTGGTGGCCACTTTTTATTGGTGGAGGAAAATGATGTGCCTGCAGAGAACCACCAACCTTCAGCAGGAAAACTGGGAATCCTAGTTAATTAAGATCTGAGAAGCATGCATCTGCCAAATGCAGTGTTGGAACTCACAAACTCAGTGTTGACAGGCAAGCGATACAGTAGATTAAGTACTTAGACCACTTGGCCACTGAGGCCCCTCAGTTATATAAAGTAGGTGATAGAGGGTCAAAGCCTATATTGATATATTTAATTTCAATTATGTTGAGATTTTTTTTACACATCTCCTGAAATTTCATATAATCCTATTTACCCTTTTTTCTGTTTGTTGCAGAATTTTAGCTATTCGAAATGGAACAGTGCAGCCAAGAGTGTTGACTCAAATTTTTATGGTAAAATTTTATGACTCATATCTGTTCTATGATCTTGATAACCCGGTCATACTTTATCTTATCTGGTAAATAAAGTATTAATAAATAAATTAAATTAAAAAAAACAAGTGAATCTGTGAGCTACTGCTCACTAATGATACCCCTGCCCTGCTACAAGTATAAGATAAACAGGAAGTTGTTGAGTGATGAATCGGAAAATGCATCACATGGTATAGCTGACTCACATAAACCTTGAAACCAAATTTCAGAAATCCTTGTAATGTAGTTCCTGAGAAAGATGCTACGAAAAATATATTCATGGGACGGACGGACGGACTGATGGATGGACTGACGGATGGATGGACTGACAGATGGACGGACAGACAGAGGTAAAACAGTATACCCACCACTATTTTAAAGCGGTGGTATAAAAAGCATCTGATTAATGATCAGAAATATGATTTTATAAATAATAGACCAACAATAAGTAACAAATTACTTTCGATAACATGAAATACTTATACAATATAAATATTCTATTTATTTAATGATATGGATCTGTTAAACTATCACACAACACAATAGTTGAATAATAATCAAAAACGCAATTCTAAGAATTACCAAGGTAGAAATTCAAAACAATGTTATCACAATTTTTTTAAATCAACCCTAAAGACCTGTAGATCAAAACCGATACAATATGGGTACACAATTATATATAGCTTGAAATACAAAAAATATATAAAAAGAACTAAGTATTTACTGTGTGAGAACCAAGTATATGTAAGAGAATGATAATCCCTTTCTTCATGATTAAGTACGAGCGTTAGCGAGTACTTATCATGAAGTAAGGGATTATCATTCTCTTACAAACTTAGAATATTGTAAAGTCTTCAAGGCTCAAATGATCTACTCAAGAATTAGTTTCATTGTCAGTGCAATGTTTATATTTGATGCATGACTTTCCTTTTCTGCATGTCATTTATGGATTAGTTTTAGTGATGTAAGCACTTTCATATCATTTGGGAAATATTTTTAAAAAAAAAGCGTTATAGATATTAGGTGACACAACAGTAGAAAGAAAAGGTAGGAATTGTATATGTTTCCTGATTGTGAGTATGAATGTAAAAGACATGTAATATTTTAGTGAGGAATTATCCTTTTTTTATTTACAATTTAAATCAATTAATACATTTGAGTTACAACTAAATTTTAATTCACAGCCAATATTTTGGTCCGGCTTTTTACATCAAATAATATTTCAGTATTTCAGGGAAATGTTCAAAAATAATGCCTTTAAAAGTTTTTAATATGTTCAAAATTAAATTCCTGTTTTTTTGGGTTTTTTTATCAGAATATTGGAAATAACTATTCTTCCCAACCACTGATCAAGTAATCAAAGTTTTGGAAAGCTAAAGATTTAGGTTATTTTTTTTATCTGAAAGATTTTTCTTTCTTTTTTTGCTTGGCTTTGTTTAATTTTCTTAGTAATTTAGAGTTATTAATATTTTCATAATAACATTCATGGTACCAATTTTACTGCACCAGTAAACTTCTACTATTTTGAGATATTTGTTTGTTTCACAATTCAACTTTTAGTCAGTTTCAATCACTGTGTGATAAATCCTTCCAATCTGATAAATGTGCTTCGGGGCAGTTGTAACTCATCTATAGACACTCTTTGTTTTGAACTGTAAATAGACCCAAATAATAGAATAATCCCTTACTAAGAACATGATTTACATTTATTCTTCACAATTAAGAGCCATCCAATCCTACAATTGGTCGAGAGCACTTTGTTATATTCTAAGCTTGATATGAAGATTGCATGTAGCCTTGTAGGTAAATGTAGGTGAGTAGATTAATTCGATACTCCAATTAGAATAGTGAACAAAACTTAGGATAAGGAAAATGAGCTTGCAAAAGAACAAATTAAATTTGTTGTATGCTGAAACAATAATTAATCAGAGATGAAGAATAAATCTTGCAAAAAAGGAAAATGTTTGGTAATTAATCATTTTTACTGGAACAAAAATATCCATTTGTTACATACATATGGTCAGTCACAAAGATTCTATTTTGGTTAGAAATGGACCATATGATGAAGACATAATCTTTCAATCAGTTCAATTGAGGTCTGGAGCTGGCATGTCAGTAACTGCTAGTAGTCTGTTGTTATTTATGTATTATTGTCATTTTGTTTATTTCCTTTGTTTCCTATTCTGACATCGGACTCGGACTTCTCTTAAACTGAGTTTTACTGTGCGTACTGTTGTACGTTTGTTTTTTCTACATTGGCTAGAGGTATAGGGGGAGAGTTGAGATCTCAAAAAACATGTTTAACCCCGCCGCATTTTTGCGCCTGTCCCAAGTCAGGAGCCTCTGGCCTTTGTTAGTCTTGTATCATTTTTAATTTTAGTTTCTTGTGTATAATTTGGAGTTTAGTATGACGTCCATTATCACTGAACTAGTATACATATTTGTTTAGGGGCCAGCTGAAGGACGCCTCCGGGTGCGGGAGTTTCTCGCTGCATTGAAGACCCATTAGTGGCCTTCGGCTGTTGTCTCTATGGTCGGGTTGTTGTCTCTTTGACACATTCCCCATTTCCATTCTCAATTTTACCATTATATTTTGTCTGAAGGGTGTTGACTTCAATTCTTTATGTCAACGTTTATGACTCATTATGTAATACTGCTCTAACAATTTATAGGCAAGCCACCAAATTAACAAGAAACAAGTTAAAAGCATGAACACAAAGAATCCTTCTCTGGAGTTTAATTCAATATCATCAGATTCATTACCCCTCGGCAACCAATTAATAGATGTTTCTGATGATTGGTGCTCCACTAATCAGTTCCTTTAGCACTGTTGCCTGAAGATGTGAATGTACGGTACCTATACTAAACAGATAATGTATAATAACAGCCGTACCTTTTGTCTGGTATCTATCAATTCCTTTTCCACTGATAACTGAAGCTGTGTCAGATATATCTTCATGTTCAGACGCTCTACTTTCTGCAACAAGCTGAGTATATTTCTGAAATCTTCTTTCCAATTTACTGATTCTTTTATTCACCAGGTCAATTGAGCCAATGAAAAATGCTATAGCAGTTAAGGAAAGCAGTCATTTTCAAAATTTCACATGAACAATATAAATGTACAAATTAATATATTTGGAAGAGCTAGCTTATCAATCAGATGTTGCATTCATTTAGTTTCATAATCTTATAAGAGATAAATCATCCCAATCCTTATCACGTTTACTCTTTTAGTTTCCATATTTACATTGACAAGGTTAAACACTTTTTAACTCTCTCATTTTTGAGGACTGTGATGAAACCTGAAAGAGACAATTAGAAAAGGTTGGCAATATACAGGTTGACAATATATTGTTTACAAAATCTTTAAGAAATATTAGAAAAGGTTGGCAGTATATTGTTTACAGAATCTATTAGAAATGTTTGAAAAGATTTCAATATATTGTTTACAGAATCTATTAGAAAAGGTTGGCAATATATAGTTTACAGAATCTATTAGAAAAGGTTGGCAATATATTGTTTACAGAATTTATTAGAAAAGGTTGGCAATATTATTGTTTACAGAATCTATTAGAAAAGGTTGGAAATATATTGTTTACAGAATCTATTAGAAAAGGTTGGAAATGCATTGTTTACAGAATCTATTAGAAATGTCAGAAAAGGTTGGCAATATATTGTTTACAGAATCAAATAGAAAAGGTTGGCAATATATTGTTTACAGAATCAAATAGAAAAGGTTGGCAATATATTGTTAACAAATCTATTAGAAAAGTTTGGCAATATATTGTTTACAGAATCTATTAGAAAAGGTTGGCAATATATTGTTTACAGAATCAAATAGAAAGGTTGGCAATATATTGTTTACAGAATCTATTAGAAAAGGTTGGCAATATATTGTTTACAGAATCTATTAGAAAAGGTTGGCATGTCAATGTATATTTGTTCCGCCTAACAGAAGTTCCACTGGAAACTTTCTTATAAACAATGTCATAATATCTGTTCCTGTTGGAACAAACATTATATACCATTTATTCCGTTAGGAACATTTACTGTAATATATGTTCCAGTGGAAATAATATTACAGAATATTGTTTCCATTTGGAACTTATATTATGAAGGAACTTCTATTCCGTGACAGGCAATGCATTGTTTAAAGAATCTATTAGAAATGCCAGAAAAGGTTGGCAATACATGTATATTGTTTATAGAATCTATTAGAAAAGGTTGACAATATATTTTTTACAGAATCTATTAGAAAAGGTTGGCAATATATTGTTTACAGAATCTATTAGAAAATTTTTGAGATAAAAACAACAATACTGGAATAAAATTTTATTCCAGTATTGTTGACAATACTGGTACCAGTACTGTGATCGCCAAATTTAGGTGATCCAAAAATCGCTTCAGACTTGGAATCCCAAATGTGAAAAGAATATTGGTTTACAATGTGGCAAACTATATGAGTTCAATTCAAAGAGATTTTATGTTTTCTTATCAGTTCAAAGTGATTTTATGTACTTGATTTTTATCATTCAAGGATACGAGATTTTGCTCTTTGGATTGATTCGATTTGCTTCCTCTTTTTTGCTAAAACTTCAGGTTTTGAATCTAAATTTCCTTCACAAATGTCTATAGGAGAGCCAACTCGATTTAATCGCTCCATTTGTTTGTGAAATGTCAAAGTCAATCATTTTTTTCAAGACCTATCGAATATTTCTATTCTATCAAACGTTTTTGCGATACGGCTTTCAGTTGGCAACAAGCGCTATTAATAACGTTGGATAGAGATTGTTCCGCCTGAGGATCAAAACAAATGTGACTAGTACACGTAAAAATTATAAACAAAAAGTTACCACAACGAACCAATTATACCTACACAAACGATGTTGACAGTCTCACTTTTAAAATCCTTGCAAGGACGTTACATAATATACAATTAAGTAAACTCGGACCAGAGACGTATAATACAAAGTTTGTCAAAAAAAGGAAGCAAATGTAACAGTGTATTCCTTCCACCAGTGTATTGTCTCCGTGGACAAGCTACACCTGGGACTATTATACTAAGTTAGTATAATAGTCCCAGGCTACACTAATGTATAATTTTCAGAGTAATTATTGCACTAGGTTACTTTTTACATGCTTATTGTAAATTATCCTTTGTCTAGTTATGTATTCAAAAAACTCTCATAAAGATTTTATGAGGAGTGACTATTTAAAATAAATAGTGGGGTGTGGGCTTTTTATAAGGGTGGGGCGCTAGGACTATAATATTAACTATATATGTCAATATATTCTTAAAAACGGCAAATACAATGCATCAAGTGATATACATATATTTAAATCGAATTAAAATTTACGGGGTTGACCATGTCTTGTCTAACTGGCAGAGGAATGGCATATGAGTGGACTCAAAAGTGTGATGGAAGCTAATTCGTCACGTGGCAGGCCTTCCAAGTAGGCCAACTGGCCGAAGCCATCTTACAATGTTACAAAATAGCAGTTTCTCCTGATCTCTTATATACATTCATTAATGTACCGTATCAGAAATTAGTCAGTGAGAACAAGGATTTGTAAAGTAAGATCTTACTATACAAAGTAAGATCTTACTAAACAAAGTAAGATCCTACTATACAAAGTAAGCTCTTACTATACAAATCCTTGGTGGGAATAATAACCGTGAATAATTGATGTATGTTTTTGTTGTCTGTAGCCCAGGCTATATAATCAATCAAGCAAGCAATCAGATTTAGTTAGAATCGGCATAGTATACAGTTAAGTTTTAGAAAGCTGATTTGACCGAAGTAACATTATGCAACAGCGTGAGCATTGCGTACTTCGTGTGCGTTGCTGTCGAAAAAACTTTGAAAATTTAGTCGTATTTTGTATGGTTCACAGACTGATGATGTGGGGCGAAAGAAAAAACATTTAAGAACACATTTAATGTAACACATAATTTAGAATGAACGATGTACTAATGTATGCACACAACATGAATTAATTATTAATTAAATATCAAAGTAATTGTATGATTTGTCTAATCTGTACATTTGCGAAAATAAGTTTCCTTACTTTACTTAATCTTATATAACAGAAAGTGAAAGTAGAAGGAAGATGTCCTTTTGTGGTTGGTTTTCTGGTGAAAAGTATAGAGATCATTTTGATAGAGGTAGTATTTTTTGTTGAAAATGTGTTAAAGCACCATGTACCAATTAAATTTAGTATAGTTTGAATAAAATGTAAGAATTCGGATGGAAAAGAACAAATAGTTCCTTAGGAGTTAAAATATAGGACATTCATTTACACTGTCACGAAATAGAATTTCCTTCATAATATAAGTTCCAAATGGAATAAATATTCTGGAATATTATTTCCACTGGAATACATATTACAGTATATGTTCCTAATGGAATAAATGGTATAGAATATTTGTTCCATCAGGAACAGATATTATGACATTGTTTATAACAAAGTTTCCAGTGGAACTTCTGTTAGGTGAAACAAAATATACGTTGACAACACAACAATATTGTTAATGTAAATAATCACCCTTTACCTCATTATAAGTTTAAAGGGTTTTGGAAAGAATAAATTGCCTGTAAGGCAAGTAATTTAATGTATTATCATCTCATTATATTTTTCAGGTCTGACAAGCAAATTACAGTAAAAAATGGTCTGACTTAATATATGTTAATTTTTTAACTGATTTTTTATAGTTTGTTCTTTATTTTGTACAATGTACTATTACACCACTGTCCCAGGTAAGGAAGAGGGTTGAGCCCCTGCTAACATGTTTAACCATGCCACATTCTGTATGTGCCTGTCCATAGGCATAGTCAGGAGCTTGTAATATAGTGGTTGTCGTTAATTGTTGCTCAATATCATACATGTGCATTTGTTTTTCGTCTATTGTAATGTACATAAAGCAGGCCCTTAGTTTTCTTGTTTGAATTGTTTTACACATGTCATTTCTGGGCCTTTTATAGCTGACTATGCCATGTATGCAGTATGGGCTTTGCTCATTGTTGAAGGCCGAATGGTGACCTATAGTTGTTAACTTCTATGTCATTTGGTCTCTGGTGGAGAGTTGTCTCATTGGCAATTATACCATGCCTTCTTATTCTTATATCTACCATGACCATAGCTGTAGAACTGTACACTGTAGCTCTTATTGTCCTTAAGATTATTTTTATCTTACCTGGCCCAAAGGGCCAATTGAGCTTTACTCATCACTTGGCATCCATCATCTCTTATTGTCTTCCGTTACCTTTGATTAATTTAAAAGTCTTTTTTCCTCTGAACTGCTCAGCCAAACTTAAACAAACTTGGCCACAATCATCATATTATTAAGGGTATTTTGTTTTAAAAATGTGTTTGTTAATCCAGCCTGTCAATCAACATTGCCAACAACGGCTGAAAAAACATTGGTGTAAATGCAAGTTTTGTCTATTATATTGAAAACAGCTATGTATAAAGAAAATCTGACAGGAGCAAAAATATTTAGAATGATGAGATTTACCTATTGTCTGTTTACATCAAAACTGTCAGACGACTTCTTATTGGAGTTATTGCCCTTAAATGAGAAATTTTGCCACTTTTTTTCAATTTTACCTATTATTTTAGCAATTAAGATTGATAGAAACTTTAAAAAACAAAAATGATCACCAAGACAAGATCTATATAAAAGTCAACATGGTTAAAATCGTCCGACAACTTCTTATTGGAGTTATTGCCCTTTAGTGATGATTTTCACCCATTTTTATTAGTGTTTTTGTCTAATAATTTCAAAACAATAATAGATAGATGGAAACTTTATTCAGCCAAAATGATCAGCAAGACATGATCTACTTATCAGTCAGATGGCAATAATTCAACGATTTCTTATTGGAGTTATTGCTCTGAAGGATGATTTTTTCTAATTTTCAGTGTTTTTGCCTATTATCTTCAAAACTGTAAAAGATAAATTAATACTTTCAGTAGCAAAAATGATCAGCAAAAACAAGATCTACAAATAAGATTATATAGCTGAAATCGTCGATCAACTCCTTATTGAAGTTTTTGCCCTTTATTGACAATTTTTACCCATTAGATGCCTTTTGCCTCATATCTTAAAAACTATAATACTAATAGATAGATGAACACTTATGCTAGCAAAAATGATCAGCAATACCAGATCTACAAGTAAGTCAACATCACTGAAATCGTCAGTTGATTCCTTTTAAGAGTTATTGCTCTTTAATGATGACTTTTCCCGTTTTTAGTGTTTTTGTCTTTTATCTTTAAAACTATCATAGATAATAGACACTGGCTCTTAAGAGCCTCTAGTTTTAATTAGCAACCTACTGTGGTCTACAAATTACATAAAATATGCCAAGGACTCTTTGATACCAATTTTTATGATAACAGTTCCCACAAGTTCGTGTAAGCATTAGTTACATTTAGTTAACGAAAATCAACTCAGAAATGGAAAAAATGCTAACTTTAGATAATTTGGGTAATATCCCTAATTTCAGAGTTAATATCTGGTTTTAGAATTGTCCCAATTGATTACCTTTATGAATTATTGCAGCAAATTAAAAATCAATTTGTTATTTTTGGACAACATTTAAAATGAATCTTTACAGATTATTGGTAGTTGATTGGTGCCACATTTATTATATAATTTATACATACTGGAATCTTACCATGAACAAATAGATGTCTGTTTCGAAAATAAAATCCCAAGTTATGTGGCCATCTGATGAAAAACAAAGGTTGAGTCAATAGTAGGTATATATGCCAGGTGTGTGATACTGGTCATATCTAGTTTTGTATATATGCCAGGTGTGTGATACTGGTCATATCTAGTTTTGTATAACAAACAACCAATCTTTTACACTACACCAACCACATTATTTAAAGACGAAATTTTTCATTTTAGGAGTTTATGCATGTGCAAAGTGTAACAACCATTTATTTAGCAGTGTATCAAAATTTGAACATTCCTCACCATGGCCAGCCTTCAACAAACTCATAAGGGAGGACTCTGTACAGAGAATTACAGAGACCAAAACAGCAATAAAGGTAAATATTCACGAATTTAATAAACTAGTAGGGGGATTCTATGCAAAAAATAAAACAGTTAGCAATGATTATATATCATACCTAAGAAGAAAAATAAACATTCTTATGTTGCTTATATTGTAGTTTAAATTTTTTTTTAAAGCAGAACTGAAATAGACAAACTAACAAATATATACCAGTCACTATGTGCATTTAAATATACAAAATAAATCAGTCTCTTTAAATCAAGTGCCATACTTTTGAAGTTCAGTTAATCTTATGAAGTTTTACATTTGAGAAAATGAGAAATTTGAATATAAAAAATCTATTACAGATATTATGTGGTAAATGTGGAAATGGTCTCGGACATGAATTCCTTGGTGATGGACCAAAACAGGGACAACACCGTTACTGAATATTCAGTGAGTCTCTCGTCTTCATTTCTCATGACAGTAAGTATGAACTGACATTACAGCTATAGAAAGGAAACAAATATCATGAATATGAAGCTTAGATAAAATCATACTGGCACTTTAACCTTTCATTCATCTGTGATAGATAGTACCGGTACTGTCCTTAAAACCTTTTTTCATGTAAAGTACCTAAATTAGTTTCTAATTTGTAAAAAACTCTCACATTTCATCTGATCAGCTTAGTTGTAATTAAATCAAGTAAACTTGCTTTAATCATTCTTTCCTGTATGGCCACAATCATCACTAGGGTATCTAGTTTAAAAAATGTGTCCGATGACCCTGCCTGCCAACCAAGATGGAAGACATGGCTGAAAATAGAACAAAGGGGTAAAATGCAGTTTTTGGCTTATATCTCTGAAACTAAATCATTTATAGCAAATCTGACATGGGATAAAAATGTTTATTGGGTTAAGATCTATCTGGCTTAATATTTTCAGATGAATCAGACAACCCGTTGTTGGGTTGCTGCCCCTGAATTAGTCATTTTAAGGAAATTTTGCAGTTTTTTGTTATCTTGAATAATATTATAGATAGAGATAAACTGTAAACAGCAATAATGTTCAGCAAAGTAAGATCTACAAATAAGTCAAACTTGACCAAAATGGTCAATTGACCCCTTAAGGAGTTATTGCCCTTTATAGTCAATTTTTAACAATTTTTCTTAATTTTTGTAATCTTTTACATAAATCTTCTCTTCTGAAACTACTCAGCCAAATTTAACCAAACTTGGCCTCAATCATCACTAGGGTATCTAGTTTAAAAGATGTGTCCGATGACCCCGCCCACCAAACAAGATGGCCGACATGGCTAAAATAGTACATAGGGGTAAAATGCAGTTTTTGGCTTATATCTATGAAACTAAAGCAATTAGAGCAAATTTGACGATGGGTAAAAATGTTCATCAGGTTAAGATTTATCTGTCCTGAAGTTTTCAGACGTATCAGACAAGCCATTGTTGGGTTGCTGCCCCTGAATTAGTAATTTTAAGAAAATTTTGCAGTTTTTGTCCCGTCTTGACGGAGTCAAAAAGCGAGACATAGGTATGCTGTTTCCGGCGTCGGCGACGTCGGCGTCAACAATGTATTAGTTTGTGATTAGGTCTAGTTCATGGTGAAACCTAGTGGTAGGTCAATGATATTTGGTATGCAGTTGTATTAGCATTGGCACATCTCATTACCATGGAGATTATTTTGCCCCGCCCCCTCAGTCAAGGTCTATTGACTTTGAAACTTTTCATAGTTTACATGTCTTATTTTGTGATTAGGTCAGTTCAAGGGGAACCATTAGTGGTAGGCCAATGTTTATTGGTGTTCAGTTGTATAAGCATTAGCACATCTCATTTCCATGGAGAATATTTGGCCCCGCCCCCTCAGTCATGGTCTATTTACTTTGAAACTTTTGCTTAGTTTACATGTATTAGTTTGTGATTAGATCAGTTTAAGATGAACTGCTAATGTTAAGTCAATGATATTTGGTATGCAAATTTATTGGCATTTGCAAGTATCATTTCCATGGAGATTATATAGCCCCACCCCTGATCATGGTTTATTGACTTTGAAACTTTTACATAGTTTACAAGATAATGTTTGTGTTTAGGTTTGTTTAAAGGGAACAACTTATAATAAGTCAATGGTATTTGGTATGCAGTTGTATTAGCATTGGCACATCTCATTTCATGGAGATTGTTTAGCCATGTACCTTCAGTCATGGTTCATTGACTTTGAATATTTGCATAACTTACATGTTAAAGTATTGCTATTTTAATTTCAACATTTGCATTATCAAAATTACAAAAAGGCGAGACATATCTCTGCGATAACAGATTTTTGTTATTATCTTGAATATTATTATAGATAGAGATAAACTGTAAACAGCAATAATGTTCAGCAAAGTAAGATCTACAAATAAGTCAACATGACCAATATGGTCAATTGACCCCATAAGGAGTTATTGCCCTTTAAATTCAAATTTAACAATTATTCGTAAAATTTGTAATCTTTTACAAAAATTTTCTCTCCTGAAACAACTGAGACAAATTCAACCAAACTTGGCCACAATCATCACTAGGGTATCTAGTTTAAAAATTGTGTCCGATGACCCTGCCTTCCAACCAACATGGCTAAAAATAGAACTTAGGGGGGAAATGCAGTTTTTGACTTATATCTCTGAAACTAAAGCAAATGTATAACGTTTGCATTATTTCATGCATCAATTGTAAATAAAAATATCAGGTGAGCGACACAGGCTCCTTGGAGCTCTAGTTGCTTATATCTTGAAAACTGGAATAGATAGATAGAAACATTAAATAGCACAAATGATCAGCAATATAAGATCTACAAATAGGCCATTATGGCCGAAATCTTCAGTCGACTCGTTATTGGAGTTATTGCCCTTTAATGATATATTTTTGCCTATTATCTTGAAAACTATAATAGATAGAAAGAAACTTAAGACAGGAAAAATTATCAGCAGGATTAGATTTACAAATATGTCCACATGACTGAAATTGTCAGTTAACTCTTAATAGAGTTGTTCCCCTTTAATGATAATATCTGTTTTTGATTGTATTGTAATTTGTGTGTCAGGGAAGATTTATTGTAACTAACTGTGTTAACCCTATTTGAATAAAGAATTTATAATTATTATTATTTATACTTAAAGTGGTCATTGTTGAAGATGCAGGTGAGCAACACAGGCTCTTTAGAGCCTCTAGTTTTGTTTTTAAAACAAATAGATGTTTGCAGTCTTGATATTAAACATTTGGAAGAAATTGAAAACAAAATTATGTTTCTTAAATTAAACAATTAAAAAAATTGAATGAATGACCTATTTATATAATTATTTAATTATACCAACATTTCGACTTTCATATTACAGCAAAAATCCTAACATTAGTAAAAGTTTTAAGCTTTAAGATAAATGTTACAAAAAATCAAATTCATGAAAAAAAAGTTGTAACATATTTATTTGAATTTATGGCTATATAGATGTAAATAACAATGATTAATCTGTTAATTATAGATAAGAAGATCACTTTATTTCAAGTGACATCCTGTTATAATCCTGTTTTATAAGTGTATACATGTCAATGATTACTCATTTAGGAATCCTACTTTCAGTAGGATAATTTTAAATGTTATGACATGTTTTAGAATGTATTGTTCATTACCAGTTATGGTTATAATATATGTCATTGGAAATTAATTATCAGTCTGTGTCTAATTTAGGAAAAATATATGAAAAAAGTATGAAGGCTAAGAAAAAATAATTATATCCCCATATATGTAAAGTATTTTGTTAAAAGTCAGTATTTTTTTTCAACTAAGGGTACCTTAAATAGACATATATTTTTCCTTTAATTATCAACATGTACTTTGGACAAAGAAGCACTAATTAAGGTAAAGTCAGAAGGTAACAAGTAGTACATATTTCACTGAAAATAAATCCTATGCATAGCTTTAGTTTTTAACATATGTGTAAAATATTTAAGTAATTTTGGTATGAAATGAGTCTTAAAGAACTGAGATTATTACTGAACCTTTGTTGAATGTATAATTTGAATAATAAAAAGGTTGTATGAAATTACAATTGAAGAGCATATTTTGCCCTTTTTTTAGATCTGAAGTGCCGGTTTTTGTACTTTTGTACTTTTGTGAACCAGTGTGCTCTTATATGCAATTAAATATACATAATGAATTTTTCAGAACAAGGCAGGCTAAGGTTAATTTTGACATGGAATGACCATCTTATTTAAGCAAAAGGCTTTAAACTGAATTTAACATAAAAGCAATGTTTTATACAGTTTGATTAAAATATGAGTTATTCCCCTTGCATTAAGCTGTTTCCTGATTTGTCCATTAAATAATCTATTAATCTGATTACTAAATATTAAAAGATATCTTTATATTTATCACTGACCAATAATCATGGCATATGAATCTGTTTTTCCTACAATTATGGCATGTATGGACGTAGGAAGATAACACATATATTTAAAAGATTGACTAAATTAACGTCATTTTTACATGTAAAATGAGCACTTTGATTCATTTGTTGCTGCTCAGATTCTCAGTGATGATCTAAGTGCATAGACTTATTTGGTTGTACATGTACCGTACCTTTAATATTTTTTACTTACTACTTATATGCCTGCAGGAAAATGTGTAGAAAAAAAAGGTGTTACTGCTGGAGTCTTCTCAGAAATGATCTTATAACAGATTTAATGTGTGACTCAATTCGATCAAATTCAAGTAGATACTTTCTCTGAAATAAAATTATAACCTATTTAGATGTTACCTATATATAATAACTATGATATACAATCTTTATAAAGAAAATTTAGATAATACCAAAATAAGGAGATGTGGTCTGATTTCCAATGAGACAACTATCTACCAAATACTAAATGACTTAGATGTTAGCAACTAAAGGTTACTGTGCAGCCTTTAACAATGAGCAAAACCCATATCACAAAGCAAGCTATGAAAGGCCCAGACATAACAAAATGTAAAACAATTCAAATGAGAAAACCATTGACCTGATTTATGTACAAAACACCAAATGAAAAACAAATATGATATACAGTAATAAACAACAACCTCTGAATAACAGGCTCCTGACTTTGGACAGGCACATACATATAGAATGTGGCTGGGTTAAACATGTTTTTTGGTGCCCAACCTTCACCTAACTGGACAGTGGTGTTACCGCAAAACACAAGAACAAAATGTAGAAATCAGTTGATTTTTGTCTCAGCTGTGACAAAAGTCGCTGAAAGCGAGACATAGGTATTAGCTTTTCCAGCAACAGCGATGGCATAGGAGGATGCGTCAACAATTGTTAAGTTTTCTACATAAGTCAGTTTGATAGGAACTACTTGTGATAGATCAATGATATTTTGTATAAAGTTGCATTACTATCGCTACATATCAGTTTGACAGCTATTTCGAGGCCCTGCCCTCTAGGTCAAGGTCCAGTGACTATCATTTAATAAGCAATTTTCAATGTTAAGTTTTCTGCTTAAGTTATTTTGAAAGGAACTACTTATGATAGATCAATGATATTTTCTATAAAGTTGCATTACTATCAGTACATATCAGTGTAACAACTATTTCGAGGCCCTGCCCCCCTAGGTCAAGGTCCAGTGACTTTTAATTAATTAGCAATTTTCAATGTTAAGTTTTCTGGTCAAGTCAGTTTGAAAGGAACTACTTATGATAGATCAATGATATTTTCTATAAAGTTGCATTACTATCAGTACAAGTCCATTTGATGACTATTTCAAGGCCCTGCCCCCTAATTCATGTTCCAGCGACTTTGAATTGTTGCAATGTTGCTGTCCATCAGATTGACTTTTTTTTATTTTCTGCAGACAGGCGAGACATATCTCTGTGTCAACAGTTTATGTTAACCTGTTACCTATATACTCAAGATAATATATAACATCCATGATGTTTGACCTTTGTTAATATATAAAAATAAAGTGATGTGGTATGATTGGCAATGAGACAACTATCCACCAAACTTCAAATGAAGTGGATGTAAGCAATTATAGGTAACAGTACGGCCTTTGTTACTTATATATGATAACTATAATATATAACCTTTGTTTTCTTTGTTTACAGAGATGAGAGACATACCTGTTACTGAATCCTAAAAAGATTATATTATTCTGAAGCTAGCTCAAAACCAAGATGTCATCATTCCATCATATTAACAAACTTAGTCCAGCAAATGAATTCTTCTGGTAGAAAGTCATCTTTCTAAACAACTTACAACTTAATTGTTATTTTTTACTATCTTGTATGTTTTGAAGACTCTATGTTGTCCACTTGATGTCTTTTGGTTATTTGTTTTAGTTGGTTTTTGTCTAATTGATTTATGTTCCACACACCCCCTTTTTCATGTCAGTTGACATTTTTATGGTCATGTGTCTATTTAGACAGTCTCTGAAAGGAATTTTATTTGATAATTGAAAAAATAGAAAACTTAAGAATACAATTACATGGTATTTTTTCTTTTTATACATTTACACACTAAAATGCAGGAAGAAAAGTGACACAACATATATCGCCTTTTAGTCTTGTTTAGAGGGTATAGACATTGTTATGGTTACAATGGAAGATTTTAGTTTTCTGTGTGTTATGTATATTTACTTGACTTTTATTCATGTAAAACTTTTCTTTCAGGGGCAAAAACTATGTCACGAAACTGTGATTTCATAAAAATATTAGCACTTCTGGTCATTTGTGCATAAATGAGCAACACCTAAGCAAAAGAATTTTTAAGATGTAAGCCCTTATTGTCTATTAACAAGCTTTTATCAGCAGAGTTGAAAGTTGAAATGTTTTACCTTAATTCAATTTGCTGTTATGTCTTTATTCTTTCAGTACTATTTCTCAATAAATTTAAAATGGAAAAAATCAGTGTTTATAAAATATAAGGATTGGGATATTCAATAAGATTTTTGCCTTTTGATGAGTTTTACATGGCAATAAAAATGATAATATGACATTGCATTTCCACAACAATTGTACACATATTTACATGTTATTTTAAATGTGAATTTCAAATGATGACTTTACATACAGTTTTACATATATTATTTGATTGATGATATGGTTAGTGATTACCAGTTTCAAGCATTTGTATAAGATTTTTACTTATGAGAGAAATTTGATTGATGTGCTTCCATAGCAACCAAAGATACAATAATTTAAAATTAAATATCTTTTTATTATTATTTAAGTGTCATTGTTCTAGGGATTATCATTTTTTATTTTATTTTGACTGAAAATTTTATTACATGACCGTGAGCTATTTAGACACCATGTTATTGCAGTAGTTTGAAAATGATGTATGATTTCGTTGACGACTATTGTTGTATTTAAGATATTTAATTCAATTTTATAAATAATTTCACTTGTTTGAAGTTAAGCACATTTTCTTCGACCTATATATGTGGGTTGTTGATATGAGTATATGTTTATCTTGGGTGATAGGGATTAACATAATCCTATTTATGGTGAATAATAACAGTGTTTTAATAGAAATATCATTGTAGGTGACAATGAATCACAAAATCCTTTATTAAACATATCATTGTGTGTGATTATTAATAACAACATTCTTTTTGTCAGAAAACCTGCTGTTCTTTACTCTTTTTATGAATGACCTCTACTCTGTATAAATGACCTTTACTCTGTTTATGGATGACCTTTACCGTGTTTATGAATGACCTTTTGATTTTGAGCTAGCCTAGGTAGATGATACACCATTGATGATTCGAGGCATTTTAGTAAATGAAGTATATATGAAGTTGTCAGGCCACAGTCCACATGGAAAAGCTAGACAATGGAAAACTCCTCTCTTCTACTGATCTGACTAGAACCTTCATATGTTGTGTTGCCAAAGAAACACTTTTTTAACTGATTTGACTATAATCGTGGTATGTTACGTTGCCTCAGAAACCCTTTTTTTAAAAATGATTTGACTATAATCTTGGTATGTTATGTTGCCTAAGAAACCCTTTCTAAGTTTCTCTTGACTTAGTATGAATTTCCACCTTCAAATGTTTTGTTTATGAATTGTATATATCTTACAAGTTAGCGAATTGAATGGAGAAAATATTTTGATGATTTATTTATTTATATATAATTATCTTATTAATAGTTTTCTGTTGTCATCAATAACATGGCATTGTAAACTTATTTTTTTAATTTTTCATATACTTGTTTTTATATTTATTTTTTGTTATGGTGTTTTTCATTTTTCATCACTGAAAATGGATGTATGTTGAATTTAAGTGATATATACTCACAGAACTCAAATGAGCATATTACATTATCACCTTGTACGAGGCAATTGGGATAGATTCAAAAACATTTTAATCTCCATTGTTTCTATTGAGCAAGCTTATCCTTGTAAGTTAATAAGATTTACAATATATAATTTAATTGGAAAATTGTGTAACTGGACATACAAGTAAATGACACATTTTTTGGAGACATGGAAAATATATTTAAAGAATATTATCAATAACAAATTGAGTGACGAATTAATAAATATATGAAAATAAAAACAGATGTGATTAAAAATTGTATTAAGATAACTTAAGCAAGAAAGAAGTTATAACTATTAGATCTAATAATCAAAATATTATAGATACACTCAGGGCCATTGTGTATTGTCATGTAATGTCTTTCATTTTGATATGTAAATTTTGAAAGTTTTATCAAATAAATTGATTCAGAAAAACAGTTGTGCTTTTATTTGTAATTTTTCGCCACTGGATTACAGAATGAATAGATAAAAGCTACATATCAGAATATGAATGAATAAAATGAGATAGGAGTTATACTTTCATGTCTTATTGGTTGAAATATTTTTAGAATGCCTTTCACTCAAGTTTTCAGAATTTTCAAGATTTAATGTTCACAATATATTTATGGGTTATGTTCTAATTGGCATTGTATTTATGATAGTACTTTCATTCTCAATTAGTTAGGTAAGGGAGCAGTTAATTATTTATACAAGTGTTTTTATGGATTACATGTGAATACATTTTCAGCTGACCTGGACCAAACGGTCCATGTGAGTGATTGCCACCAAATAGTCCATGTGAGTGATTGCCACCACTTGGTGTCTGTCACCATCATTCACTGTTGTAAACATTTAACTTGTTCTTCAAAGAATTCTGGGCCTGATATTACATGACTTCACCTGAATGATCCTTAGGGCATCTTGTTAACAAAATATATCTGGGGATTTGATCCATCATCAGCAAAAAATGCCAAAAATTGAACTTTAGGTATAAAAATCTCAAACACTGAAGCAGTGAGAGCGAAACTGACATTGGTTCGATTTATCAGTAGTTCAAAACCTATCTTTAAATTTATTATAGAGAGAAACTTTAAATGAAAAAAAAATTACCTGCAAGTAAATATCTACAAATCTGCATCCATGAAATTGTCAACAGACTCCTTGTAGGAGTTATTGCACTTTTTATACGACCGCAAAAAAATTTTGCGGTTGTATATTGGTGTGACGTTGGCGTCGTTGTCATCGTCCGAAGACACATTGGTTTTCGCACAATAACTTTAGTTTAAGTGACTGGATCTCTATGAAATTTTACCATAAGGTTCAATACCACAAAAGGAAGGTTGGGATTGATTTTGGGGGTTATGGTCATAACAGTTTAGGAATTAAGGGCCAAAAAGAGGCCCAAAAAGGCATGTTTCTAGTTTCCAGACAATAACTTGTGTTTAAGTGTATGGATCTCTCTGAAATTATACCACAAGTTTCCATACCACAAAGGGATGGTTAGGATTGGCTTTGGGGGGTTATGGCTCAAGCCGTTTAGGAATTAGGGGCAAAAAAGGGGAAAACAAGGGTTTCCTGGTTAATGGACAATTTAAAAGCAGTGTAAGGGAGGTAATCCAAAAACAAAATTGTACAATGTTGTACAATGTTGGATTACCTCCCTTAAACTGCTTTTAAATAATCTATTTAAGACTTTTATGATGTATTTTTAAATGGGTAATTATGGTTGCAAACTCCATTGGAAATTTGAATTGAGATTATGACCATATCTTGAGGGTAAGAATTTTTTTTTTTGGAAAAGGTGGGGGGGGGGGCAATTTTTTCTCATTTCAGATTTCAGAAATTAAACAAAATTTCTTCACATATTTGGGGATTTTTTTGGGGGGGGGGGGGGGTTCAATATGCAACAGCATAGTGTATTGCACAAAAGCAAACACAAAAGCAAACAAAAAAAAACTTTTATTTTTTTTTGGGGTGGGGGGGGGGGGGCAATTCGCACAGGCACAGTGTATTGCACAAAAGCAAAAAAAAATGAATATAAATTCAAATCATATAACCAATTCTAAGTTCTTTGACTACAGTTATTCTTTGTCAGAAACCTATTATGTGTCAAATATTTGATTACAATCCAAATTCAGACCTGTATCAAGCGCGAATATTGTGTCCATTTTTGCCCCAACTGTTCAGGGTTTGATCTCTGCGGTCGTATCCAGCTGCGCTCAGCGAAGCATTTTATTAATGTTTTTGGCAATATTTGTTTGGTTTTTTTTCTTGAAAAAATCGAAGGAGAGAAATTTTAAATACCGAAAATTCTCATGGCCAAAATCGTTAGTCAACTCCTTGTAAGAGTTAATGCCTTCAAAGATGTTTTTATCCATTTTTATGCTCCCCAGAAAAAAAATCGGGAGCGTATAGTCATCGCTTTGTCCTTCCGTCTAAAAAAATGCTTTCATATTGAAATCTTGTGTTCCCCTTGTTAAATAACAACGAAAATTATACCAATGGAAGATATAGGGAAGGAGAAAAAAGCCCATTGACTTTTGGATCAATTGGTCATAGTTCAAGGTTACTGTTGCTGATCATAATGGAGTTTTTTTTTGTTGATTTACAAAGGAAACTTATATATAGAAGGAGAAGAACCCTATCGATTTTAAGGTTAAAGGTCAAAGTCGCATATCTATTAGAAAAAGACAAAACATAGAAATACGAGTTGCAACTTTCTGTTTAGCCTGGATGATTATTGGAGGTACACTTGTTCGATCATAAGTTAAGCTGATATTAGTGATAGATAGAAGGAAAGGGACACATTCTTAATTTTAGGTCAAAAGGTCAAGTTTCAAAAGGCAAAACTATTCAGATATGTCAAAAATCGTCACCAAAGGATAATAACTGCTACATAAATTCGATAAAATGTTTCAATCCTATTTGAATTTTTATACCCACGTTTTACAAAAACGAAATAAAAATGCAACTCGTCTAATTATTGTTTCGCAAATTTTTAATTCTTCCCTCGCCGGGATTCGAACTCATGCTACTGAGATATCGTGACACCAAATCGCCTGCACTATATCCGACGCGCTAGACCACGCGACCACCTAGGCTTCACAATAATAAAGCTTTCGGTGGTTGGGTGTTACCTTTCCTCGTCAGTTTTAATCTAGCGTCGTAATACAGTACATGATATATAAGGCATGAAGATGGAATTGTTACAGATCAGCTCGTGGTCTAGCGCGTCGGATACAGTGCAGGCGATTTGGTGTCACGATATCTCAGTAGCATGAGTTCGAATCCCGGCGAGGGAAGAACTAAAAATTTGCGAAATCAAATTTACAGATTTAACATTGTTGGGCTGATGTTTAGACGAGTTGTATATACAGAATGTACACAGCCATGTATCACCATCACTGCTGGTGATCCGATGGATAAATCTGTTGTAGAGTTGTCACTGGTTCAGACGTACTTATATATATATATATATATATATAAAGAAATGTGGTATGATTGCCAATGAGTCAAATATCCAACAAAGTTCAAATGAAGAGGATGAAGCAATCATAGGCAAACGTGCGGCTTTCAACAATGAGAAAAACCCACACAGCATAGTCGGCTATAAAAGGCCCCGACATGAAAAATATGAAACAAATCAACTGAGGAATCTAACTGCCTAATTTATAACAAAACAATTTACGAAAAACAAATATGACAGACATGAACCAACTACAGAATGTGGCAGGGTTAAATATGTTTGTGAGCGTTTAACCTCCCCTAACTTCGGACAGTGGTGTTACAGCACACCATAAGAAAACAACTATAAAAATCAGTTGAAAAGGGCTTAACTCATCAGATCGATACAAAGCAGAAAAACATCTAAAAAACACACAGACTGGACGTGGCAGGGTATATATACATCCTTTACAACAAAAAAGACACGAAGTACAGATCTGAGAGTACCCGCAGTTACTGACAGCTAGTTAAAACCAATAACAACTAATAAAAAAATCATGTATCTAAGACTAAAATATCAATCAGTACACATCCAACAGCCAATGGATTTAGTATGAAGACGGCATTAACAGTCAGGGAAAACATGAACATGTGCAATGGCAAAATATAGGTATCGACAGATTGTAGGACCGTGAAAGTGCATATGACATGTGTATAACAATAACATTTAGTTTGGTTTTAATTTACTGATAAAAAAGTCAATATTTATACCAATAAAAACAATATTCAAAGATCTAATTACAGTGTTGAATTGTTAACCTTATAGAATAAGTTTATTCAAAGGATTGATGAGTTTACCCGGATCGTAAACAACATCACTGTAAAATTTAGGATGTGCTATTCCGTTTGAAATAAGTTTTCTACAGGTCTAACAGCCGAACTGGCGAACCAAATCTTTGTATCTATGGGAGAATTTAGTAAAGGTTTTAAGTAATTTGCGGTAACGAAATCCTTGACTTAATAATTTACCAGTACATGTAATACATTGATTACGCTCATTGAAATAAAAATTGTCACTACAGACACGGACATAGCGAACGAGTTGTGATATATAAACACCGTTAGACGATGCCAAAGGAACATCACCGTCCAAAAAAGGAAAATTAACAATAGGGCAAGAAAAATCATCCCTCTTGTCTTGATGAATTTTCTTGTGATAAATAGATTTTTTTGTCAATGTATTTTATCAATCCCACATCCCCCAAGAACAGTTGTTAACTGGATATTGCATGGACAGTGTACACTGTGTATTATTAACAAACACGTTGTTTACCTCCTGTTAACTGGATATTGCACGGACAGTGCACACTTTGTATTATTAACAAACACGTTGTTTATCTCCTGTTAACTGGATATTGCATGGACAGTGTACACTTTGTATTATTAACAAACACGTTGTTTACCTCCTGTTAACTGGATATTGCACGGACAGTGCACACTTTGTATTATTAACAATCACGTTATTTACCTCCTGTTAACTGGATATTGCACGGACAGTGTACACTTTGTATTATTAACAATCACGTTATTTACCTTCTGTTAACTGGATATTGCACGGACAGTGTACACTTTGTATTATTAACAATCACGTTATTTACCTTCTGTTAACTGGATATTGCACGGACAGTGTACACTTTGTATTATTAACAAACACGTTGATTACCTCCTGTTAACTGGATATTGCACGGACAGTGTACACTTTGTATTATTAACAATCACGTTGTTTACCTCCTGTTAACCGGATATTGCACGGACAGTGTACACTTTGTATTATTAACAATCACAGACCACAAAGGACCAAAAGAAAAACGACGTAAAGACTAACAACAGGCATCTTTGTACATCTTATAGTGATGATCATTGTTGTTGTATCTATCTCTAAATAACCAGAAATACTAAAATGTCTCAAACAAAGTCCAAAAACTCCTACTTGGGGTCAATTTAATGGTTTCAGTCATAGGCATTTTTGAAGAACTTGAATTGTTGATAATTTTTGCAAATCACAGTTTCTGTCTATCTATTATAGTTTCCAAGTAATTAGGCAAAATGACGAAATTGTGAGAAAAATAAATATCGTCATATGATGTTAAAAACTCAACTAAGGAGTCCATTGAGTCGTCTGATAATTTTTGTACCATTAAAGAGTAGACATACGTGGATCTTGATATTTATAATCTGTTGTGCTGTATCTATTAAGATTTCTAAGATATAAGACAATTACCTCTATATTTACCCCATGGCCATGTTGGTTGATTTATCGGAATGAAATGAACCAACTTTAATGTAGATGAGGATCAATCATGTGAAGTTTTGTATAAAATGGTTCGATCATTAGTTTCGGAAAAGATCTTTTCAAGAAGTTAACCACGTGCCAAATGATAGGAAAATCTCATTTCACAATAATATGAAAATACTAGTATATTTCTTTTGTTGTAAAAATTCAAATCAAACCAATTTTCAATTTCTTATCATTTACAGAACATGCTTTGCATTGAATCATGATATTGATATCGGCTAACTATTTAACTTTATACCAGAAAATTTAGGACTGGCACATTCATGCATCATTTTATTGACCTAAACTATAACACAGGATAGATTAATGCAAGCATTAGTTGTCTCATTTTGTAAAGCCAACTTGTGCTCAGATGTAACTTTATTGGTACAGATGTATTTTTTATTTAGTGAAATATCGATCGCTTACGCCACACTTTTATAGTTTATTTTTACATTGTTCAGTCATTGATGGTACCCAAATCAAGTCTAGGCCTCAGATTTTTCAAGCAATAATTAAACCATGTTAGATCTCTATAATTAAAAAAAAAGTATTAACAGCTATCTTTATTTTTTAATTGCAATGTGCATAAAATGTTACCGTTCAAGACAAAATGTGTTAATTCTATTTGTTTTCCATTTTCTGCGTTAATGATATGAATGCTTAAATCGGCGTAAACATGACTCATTTTCCCCTAGGAAATAGATGTACGTCTCAGTTAATTAATAATCATGTAGCTTGTCCGGAAAGTGACCACTTTAACCTGACCTACTAACTAATTGTTTGATATCCGACTACTAATTTAAACCTATGAAGTGTTTCCGTAAAATTAGAATTGATAAGTGTCATCAAAAACATCGGACGGTGATACTAAAGTCGTTGGGGACATGATTGGTACATAAACATTGTCACTTTCTACAAAATCTGTCTTTTTCTTCGAGATTCCAAAATTCATGGGCATATAACACTGAGATTGTCCATTATTATTTTGTTCTGAATTCTGCACGTTCTGACTGCTAGATGCCCTGTTAATTGGTGAAGAATAATGACTATTAGGATCTTCTGCTTGATTTTCCATCGATAGGCTTTCACTGACATTGATATAGTTTGCTGTTGGAGAGAAATTGTCTCCAATATTTTGATAATTTGGTATTTTCTTTTTAGACGTTTTTGCTGCCCGAGAAGATTTTGTAAAGTTCATATTGTCATAAGGATTACACTTTTTCGTAGGCGTATTCATACCCTCCTTTTCAGCTGACAAATAATCGGCACCAAATTGTCTGCTTGTCTTATGGTGGTTTAATGATTTATTGTCTTTGTAATTTATCTGTTGATTTTCGTACACATGTTCAGAGCTATCATTATCAGGACTACATTGGTCCGATTCCAGAAGAAATGTTGCTGCTGTACTGTAGCCGTCGTTGTGGTCACCTGACCATTTTATTGGTGTCGATCTATTTGTTTTGTCATATGAATTTCCATTGTAGTTGGCGTGGTTATATTTATTGGCACAATCAGCCAGACATGTTGGTGAACTACATTCTCGTAAAACGTCATAAGATGGCGGTAAAATGTCTCCTGAGTAATTTTGTATGACACTATATTCAGAATCATCGGTATATTTACATCTTGTATCTTCTGTCAAATTTCTACTTTTTAAAGTTTTTGAAACATTCCGTACAGCTGTGGGTTCCAACGTGTAACTATTGTTTTTATATGCCATTGAAAGCAAGGTTGAGCTGTTGTTACTTAGAATATCTCTGTTGGTAAGATGTGTTTCGGCAACATAATCAATACGATCGCTTCCGTGATCATGATGATCTAATTCAGAACCGGAAAGTGCATTAATATGTAGTATTTCTACATTGTCACCGGCATCAATGTCTTTGGTTTCTCTAAAACTAAACAAGAATATCTGTTTAATCAACCACCTTAATGTTCATGCGGTATTCAAAACATAAATGTTTGGTCATGTGACAATTATAAAGGTAAGATCAATCTAATCAGAATAATGGATCAACTCAGGCTGGCATGTCTTCACATGCAGAAAGTTACTATCTTCCCAAACACTGTAACTTATTGAACCACTGAGCACATAACAACTGTGGCTCAACCGAGGGCTCAACACATCAATCAAGTACAAACCTCCAGGTTATTGAACATGTTTCCTTCCCCTTATTTCATGTCTATTCAAATGGAGTTTGTGTTATGATTATGGATATTATGGATAGACAACTGATTTCAGGACTTCATGCTAAGTCAAGTTTGGAAAAGGGAATCAATTTAAGATGTCAATATAAGTGTGTAAATTTCTACAAGAAATGCTCCTTTCGTTTTGTCTACTCCTGAACATCTATGACGACCATTAAGTGACCTCTACATATTTATTAGTAGTGTAGTAGAAAAGAATATAACCTCTACATATCTATTTGTGGTGTAGTGAAGTAGAAAAAAGTGTGACATCTACATATCTATTTGTGGTGTAGTGAAGTAGAAAAAAGTGTGACATTTACATTTCTATTTGTGGTGTAGTGTAGTAGAAAAGAATATAACCTCTACATATCTATTTGTGGTGTAGTGAAGTAGAAAAAAGTGTGACATTTACATTTCTATTTGTGGTGTAGTGAAGTAGAAAAAAGTGTGACATCTACATATCTATTTGTGGTGTAGTGAAGTAGAAAAGAATATGCCCTCCTCTACATATCTATTTTGAATATCCGTTGGTATCCTTCGCCTCTCACTTGTGGCAAAGTGCAGTAAAAATGAATACTCTATTGACTCTAACAGTCTGAGAATAAACAGTCAAACAATGGTCTGATCATGACAGAGTATACTTACTGTCGAAATATCGTTATTGTAATGACAGCAATCAATAATAATCCAAATATGCATCCACCAATTAATGTTGCTATGGTAACTAGAATAAATGACAAAATCTAGAATTATTAAATGCATATATTATGGTGATGTATAGCTAAACACGCTATTTTATAAAGCTTTTTAATTTTGTTTTGTTGTCATTATTAAATAATGACTTACTGACTTTGCCCCCTCTCCTAAACCCCTCTCCAAGCAAATGATTAAAAAATTATAAAATTTAAAAAATAAAATCATGTTTTCCTTTTTTCTATTTTAACTGAAGTCAACAAAGTTTAAACTGTCAGATAAGCTGTCACTTGTTCGTTAACATATACTTACTGGTCTCACGTGTGTGATTATTGGTCAGTGCGGATTCACGTGGTTCTATAGATGTTGTGTTCTCCACTGAAAACAGCAAAATGAAACGTGGATAATAGTCACATAGTTTACAGAGTTTATGTTAAAGATAAGAGAGCTTATATATATTAGCTAAAGATACTTTAGAAATAATATAAAGAAGCACAGAAGAAAAATTAAATAACAGTTTTTGGACAGTCTACCTGTTGTAATTGTTGAGAAATATCGAAAGGTAAAACAACGAGTCTTTATTATTCGATTTTGAAAGTAATGTGAATGCAACGCAATAAAAATTAAAAACCAATTGTTCAGAGAACAATTGAAGGTCTTTCCACAAAAAAACAAGAATTTTGATATGAAAATAGTAAAAATTCGGTTTAAAATGTCATTTCCAGCGTCAAATGATAGCTAATAGTACGCTGATTCCAAAAATATATGGTTTCTATACAATATTTTTTAAATAAGGGAAATAATTTGTTACTTCCGGTTTGAAAAAAGGTTACTTCCGGTATTGTTTCACTGTTTAATTGACACTGATTCCAAAAATATATGGTTCTATATACTTTTACATTCAAAAAGTACAAAAAAAATAGCTACTTCCGGTTTACACAGGTTCACTTCCGGTTCGTTTTTGAAGGTCATATGGCTTGCAACTAAATGCAAAAAGTCCCATGGCTTTATCATGTATACAAATGAGGTAAAAGCAAAGGTCAAAATCTAGAACGTCAATTTAATCTATGACCTTGGGCTCAATTTCAAGGTCATCAACCAAGGACCTCAAATCAAAACCCTAGATCTTAATTATATTTGGTTCATGAGTTATATCACCATATACATATTTTTAAATAAAGAGGGGAGAAAACTCTTATTTGATGTAAGCGCACCCTTTAAACCAATATGTATGTGTTACGACATGTCGCAACTTGCAATTAAGTAAAAATATTTTGTCGATATCTTATATCGTGTTTGAAAAGTGGTGAAAATAAGCCAAAATCCAAATTTAGAAATGACCTTGACCTTTGACCTTGACCCTATTTTCGTTTTTTTGGACCAAGGATCTCAAATCAAAAGACGCTAGGTCTTTATCACTTATGGTTTAAAAGCTACAACTACATTTTTCTTATTAAAAATACAAAAGGGGAAATAACTCCCATATGTAGTCTCCGGACCGCTTCGGTCAAAATTATTTTTTAAGATCCTGAAGATATAACAAGCAAATTGTTGAAATAATTTTGTCGTAATCTTAAACGGTTGCGAAGGAGATTTGTACACAAGAAAAACAGTGTTTGGGGAGATAACTCTTACAATAAAAAGTGTTCGGCTTAACAGGGTCAGTTTCAAAATCGTAATAACTGTTCGATATCATATGCAAAAAATCAAAGCGACATCTTGCGAAACAAAAAAGCACCGTCAGAAAAAAGTGGCGGAAGAAGAAAAAAATAATAATAATAATAATAATCAGAAGAAAACCAATAGGTATTTCCACAGAAAAGTGGAAAGACCTAATAAAGTCGAAAAATGTAATGAAGGATGTTACATACATGAGGTATCGTCAGTGACCGTCGATAGTCTTCTGTCGTTTTCTGTAGTAGAGGAATGCCATCTATTATGATCGGTCGTTGATCCGGTAGTGTCCTGGGTTCTAGTAGATAATGTTGAATCTATTAATAAATATAGAACAGCTTATAAACTAGACATTTATCTAGTTTAACTTTATGATATGAGCAAGTCCTCATAATTGAATTACTTGTAATTAAAAAATATTGAGAGTCAGCTAGACAGGAAACAACTTCGATAAATTAACTTTGATATTCACTAGGCCTAACATCTATCTAACAAAGTCATTACGAAGAAAAGAAGGACCGTTTTGCGCTGTATTTGAATCCCCCACAGGGGAGAAAAGACTCAACAAAGATAACAGGCTTATAAGGCATATACCATGTTACTCCAGTCGCGCGACTACATAAGACTCCCAAGTAGATCATATCCAATCAAAACAGGTGCAAGGTTAAATCATTATTGAAGTTGAAGAGCATTAAAAACCAAAAATTTTGAAAATATGTGCCAAATACTTAAATGATTCGAATATTTCAACATTTGAGAAACAGTTAATTCACAGAAATTGAACACATCAATGCTATTTCATATAAAAAAAGAGTACTGACGACTGTGCTGGTGAAATCCTCCGGGACGAAACGTCAAAACCAAGATGTTATTCCTATTTGATTTTGTAATATTATTTGCAAGTTTAGGCTGAATTTACCTTACTGAGCAGTTTATCTGATAAGGATTATCCTCATTCAATAAAGTCACATTACAGCACACAATCTCTTTAGAAAACCAACGATGACATGTATTCACTTTAAAATGCATATGATCCTTGTGATGCTGCCACTCAGATAATATATATTACCTAATTGAAATCTTCTACCCTATTTTTATTAATATGTCTTTTTCGGTATTTCTATCATTCTGTTAACACATTTCTATACACTCATTGTGTATTAACTACAAATCGAATAAACAAAACCCCCAATACTTCTATACATCGCTTTGTCACCAAAAGAGAATCATAACACCTCACACTTATCTGTGTAAAAAATCAAACTTACCCACACATCCGTATCTGATGGTTAGTACTTCATTAGAGAATGCACAAGAATCATCATAAATTTCATCTTTGGCTGAGACTTGGCAGCTTGTTAGTCCGTTACATTGCTGTTGTACACTTGTTGTCACTTCATTTCTACCACAGTATATAGCCCTACCTTCATACTTAGCAAAATATATATCTAACACCATTTCTCCATTACACCATAGTTCCTTTGTGCTGCCCTCTCGTACTGTCATTCGTATGGCTGAAATTTCAATATTTAAAACAATAGTATATCCCTAACACCATTAAAACTCATTCTTTACCCACAGACACATAAGTATCAATATTATAAAGAAATTACCCTTACTCTAGTTCTTATGTTCGGCGAAAGCGGTGATACTTATACTATATACCCTATGGCTATTTGGACTCTCCTACATTTGACATAAAGGACTTTAAGAGCCAGACATTTGTTTCGTGTGTCTTCAAAGCACCTGGAGGACCTTTGTGATATCATATAATGACAGACAAACAGTAAAAGTTGTTGTTCCCGAAAAACGGATTTTCATATGAATATCCTATTTCATCTTTCCTTAATCTCAGTCGAAAATTTTCTTTCGGACGTCAATGCCACAGCAAGCCTAACCGTTCGCATAGTTGTATGATACTTCAGATTGATTTATTTACAATGTCATATGTATAGCTAAAATAATATAATTACTAACCATGCTACGAAACTACCCATTGTTTTTATTACCCTAAGTAGCAATTTCATATCTGGTGATTATTTTTTTGTTTTTCTGATATGTTGCTGATTTTTTATCCTTATTTTTTATGTTCTTTTGATTGTCCAAATATTTGTCATGTATATTTATTGTCATGTATCTCAGTTTATATGATATGCAACATCCTCTCATCATTGCGATTTTACAGAAAAATAGTATCAACTGAAAAGTTCTCCGGCAAGTTTATAAATTATCCCGGCTTTTGGTGGGGTTCGTGTTGCTCAGTCTTTCGTTTTGTATGTTATATTTTGTCAACTGTTGTTTGTCTTTTGGTCGTTTTTTGTTTTTTGCCATGACATTGTCATTTCATGACTTTGAGTTTTTTGTTTTTTGCCATGACATTGTCAGTTCATGACTTTGAGTTTTTTTGTTTTTTGCCATGACATTGTCAGTTCATGACTTTGAGTTTTTTGTTTTTTGCCATGATATTGTCAGTTCATGACTTTTAGTTTTTTTGTTTTTTTGCCATGACATTGTCAGTTCATGACTTTTAGTTTTTTTTGTTTTTTTGCCATGACATTGTCAGTTCATGACTTCGAGTTTTTTGTTTTTTGCCATGACATTGTCAGTTCATGACTTTGAGTTTTTTGTTTTTTTGCCATGACATTGTCAGTACATGACTTCGAGTTTGTTTTTTGCCATGACATTGTCAGTTCATGACTTTGAGTTTTTTTGTTTTTTGCCATGACATTGTCAGTTCCTGACTTTGAGTTTTTTGTTTTTTGCCATGACATTGTCAGTTCATGACTTTGAGTTTTTGTTTTTTTGCCATGACATTGTCAGTTCATGACTTTGAGTTTTTTGTTTTTTGCCATGACATTGTCAGTTCATGACTTCGAGTTTGATTATTCCTTTGGTATCTTTCGCCTCTTTTTTAAGAGTTCACATTGTAAATTGGGTGACCGTAACAGTGTCTTAGTTTCTAGCATGATTAAAACATATTGGAAAATTTTAATACATTACCATCTTTTTTTATCAGTATGACATTGTTACCAGTTTTTTTTTATCAATATGACATTGTTACCAGTTTTTTTTTATCAATATGACATTGGTACCAGTTTTTTTTTTATCAATATGACATTGGTACCAGTTCTTTTTATCAATATGACATTATTACCAGTTTTTTTTTATCATTATGACATTGTTACCAGTTTTTTTTTATCGATATGACATTGTTACCAGTTTTTTTTATCAATATGACATTGGTACCAGTTTTTTTTATGTTTCTGACACCAACACTTACTTATAGGTAAAAGCGTTAGTCGTATGATGGGTGATACATGCAGGTGATTTTTACCGTCAATGCACAGGATTTTATTATTTTTTACATATGTTTTTCATATTGTACCTTGAAGAGTATAAAACTTTACAAATTAGAGTTGCGTCGGAAGCGCTTCTCTGGATTTAACTTCGAACGCTCAAAGCCAAATGTTTGAAAGCCAAGGATGTACAGGTATACTTGAAAAACGTAAGGAACTGTATAACCAACAAGAAAGAAAAAAGAATCGCCAAATAACTTACGTTTCCATCTCCTATCATATGCAGTACATAAGATACGATAAGCTTATTCTAACGATTCTAGAAATGTATAACAAAAATCATCAAACGTGCCAGTGATCAATTTCACAATAAATCTTACGAGAAAAAATATTCGTAAGTCATGAACATTTCAGTATAAGTTATGATAATTTAAGTTGTAAGAGTTTTTGTAAAAAGTGCTGCAGGCCTACAAGTGTGTACGCTTGCAGAATGGTTTCGTCTACAAAAAACTCATCAGTGACGCTCGAGTTAAGAAGTTAAATGATTAAGACAGTACGAAGTAGAAGAGCACTTACAGTGGCGGATCCAGAACTTTTTGTAAGGGGGGCCCACTGACTGACCTAAGGAGGGAAAGGGGGGGGGCGCCCGCTCCAGTCATGCTTCAGTGATTCCCTATATAATCAACCAAATTTTTCCCACAAAAGGGGGGGGGGGCTGGATCCGGCAAATACAGCCAAGGTAATCTATTCCTAGGGTAGAAAATCCTAAGTGACATATATTCTTACATAACAATACCGAGTGTTGTTCATCTTTACTTTTGTTTAGAAAACTTACCATTTGATGCCTTTAAAATCCATAGAAACGTGCAAACAAAAGTAAAACGATGCATTATATCCTATAGAGGTAATAGTAAGTGTTCTATCGGTATAAATATTAAAAGCTGCAGTCACTCCATCATGTGATGAAACCTTGAGTACTTGAAGTTTGTATGACTATGTTTCATAATCATTTCAACAAGGTCAATAAGGACACTTGAACATCTTAAATGTCCTTTGTTTGTGTTTAGTTGCTGTATAAAATGCATAGAATGGTGTAATGTAGATACAGTCTTTAAATGAAAATAACACTTAATTTCTTGCTTCCGATGCGCTTTTCTAGATTTATCTGCACCAGGAACGCTGACACCTAAAACTTTTGAAAGCCAAGTATGTGTAAATACCTGAACCTGTGAGGAGCTTTATAACAATAGGCAATTTGTGTTCCTCTTTACATGTTATTTTTTAGTATTGCTATCACAATGTCGTATACTAGTCATACCCCTTTGTTCATAAAGATGCATTTTTTTTAATATATTCCACAAAAAATGTAAATGTTCACCGAATACATGTGTAATTATTTTTCCTAATTTTTTATTAGAGTTAATTCTTTTTCGTATAATGATATTGACCAATCATTAAAATCTAAGTCTCTTCATTGACTTCATTATCAAATTGTATACGTCTTTACTCAGCAGTACTGCATAGTTTCTGTTTTTCTTTTCTTAACCTTCAAGAACGAGGAAATGACTTTTTTCTTACAAAGATATATTCTTTATTCGTCAATTGCCTTTACAATGATACTCCACTGCTTTAAAAAACTTTAATTTCATTTCTATATAAAAATAAGAAGATGTGGTATTAGTATCCACAAAATTTCAAATGAAGTGGATGTAAGCAATTATAGGCAACCGTACGGTCTTCAACAATAGAAAAAACAAAACAACACCGTATCTATTTTTTTATATATTTGTTTAGTAACTATTGTTAGATATTTTTTTACCCGCAGTAGAACAGTCATAACTTCAAGTTAAAACAATAAATTCTTTATATAGTTACAATACGGATACTGCTAAAATCATGAGGTCTGCATGAAATTGAAACAGATGGACTTCAAACCGGTTTATATGACAAATGTGGTTGCTTTAGCTTTCCCATTATCAACTTCCCATTTGTTAGTACTAACATATACCAAAGGTTTGGAAGTTAATCACTCTTCATCTAAAACCTTCCGATTCTACAGTGACCAGAATATCAAATTTCGGATTAACAAATTGATTCCTTTCTCAATACAGCTTCATTTTCAGTATACATAACTAATCTTGTTTATCATAAGCGCAAAATAGTAGCAAAGCATTTAACTGTAATAAATGTTTAAATCGGTATTCCGCATACATGCGATCCTTTGAAAAACATTTTTTTCAATTTCCAAGTTACCGGGCCCGATCAATTTCTGCTTCTTTCTCTGTCTCAGGCAATTGTATAACGTTTCCCTCTTCATAGTAGTTTGGTGACTTTTCCAAAAGTATATAATAGATACAATATTAAGGTGAATTTGTTTGTATAAGTAAAAATTTCAGGTTTAAAACCGGATCTTTTGATTAGAAGCTAGGTTGCAATTGCTTGTGTAATAAATAAATTGAGATCAAAGTGAACGACGTTTCCTGAAAAAAGAATTGAATGCAGATAAAGGAGTATGAACAATTACTCTCAGACTGTCGTACAAAACATAAATATTTCAATAAATGTCTTCATGTCACGAAACAAATTCGTTTTAAGCTAGGAATTAACCTCGAATGCTTAAAAAATCTAATCAGGTTCACGTATTGCACACTACTTTTGCCTGCTTTTATGAACTGTAACAACAGTCAGCATATACCCACTTTTTTATAGGTCACAGAGATATATAAAGTATAGCTTGTGGATTTTTTGTATATCTTTTATTCATTTATCAAGTTCGTCTTAAAATACATATAGTCAAGTCTGTCAGCGCCAAATATAGCATAATATAAACATATTGCAACATAAATGATTTCAATGGTTTTATAATACCAAAGCATGGCACAATCATATATAAAAAGTCTAGAAAAATCGTACGATCGGAAATCATCATTTTGGCCTCAAAACCTAGATTTTAACCAAAAATCGATAGAAATTGTGAAAATTTTTGAAAAGCTAAATTATGGATGTATGTAAGCCAAGCACATGTCAAAAACGAACTCAAGTTACTAATCCGACTACAAAGAACATTTCCGATGGTAAATTTAGAATCCAGAGTTAGGATTTATTGGTAAAATAGCAATAACTGTTCAAAGACAGTGGGCTGTTCTTTTTAAAAAATCATAGTGATCATAAATTATTTTTTGCGGACACAGACAAAGTTACCTTATATCCTTTTTCACTGAACTATTCCAAGAATACATTAGATGCACCCATAAAATGGAAAAAACGCTTTATAAAAGTAGCCTCCGAAGCCCATTCCTGAATAAACCATCATAGGAACGGTCAAATCATAAAAAATTAAAGCCAGGGATGTACAAATATTAAAATACTTTAGGAGCTATGCGACTTTAAATGATCTCAGGAGAACAGTCCAAACCACATGAAGTCCGCAAAAACTGCTGGATCATGAACATTAATATCTTAATAATTAAGTCAGCATTGCCTGCTGGAGTGTGAACCTTAGTATCTTAATAATTAAATCAGCATTGCCTGCTGGAGTTTGAACTTTAGTATCTTAATAATTAAGTCAGCATTGCCTGCTGGAGTATAAACCTTAGTATCTTAATAGTTAAGTCAGCATTGCCTGCTGGAGTATGAACCTTAGTATCTTGATAAGTAAGTCAACATTGCCTGCAGGAGTACGAACCTTAGTATCGTTGAAGTCAGAATTGCCTGATGGAGTATGAGCGGTAGTATCTTAATAATTTATAGTTTTATCAACAAAGTTTAAGAAAGGTTGATAAAAATCATGTCAGTGACTAAGCATTGACTTCTGAGCTGACAATACCCTCGAAGACTAACAATACACCAGCAGCGGTATTTACTAAGTGCTAGAGAAAGAAAATAACACATTTATCAATTTGGAGCTTCCGAAGCGCTTTTCTTGAATGACCTTTATAATCCATAGAGGACATTGTTAACAATCACTGTTTTTTTTAATTTATTTATTCCAACAAATACAATACAAGTAACATCAACAACCATAGCTGTTTAACAATAATAAATTAAAAAAAAACGCTATTAATAAAAGATAAAATAAAATAGTGCTTACATGAAAATCTTCGTGGAAGCCATATGTCGTTTGCCTGGGTATTTCATTGATTGCCACATATTAATGCGACACATGACGAGATTCATGTTTATAGTTAATGATATGATATTAATATCTTTTATACAATTTCCGGTGCAAAGTGCAAATTCTGGAAAAAATGGGGATGAAATAGGTATAAATATCACAAAAAACGGCATATCAAATTCTTATAAGAGACAAAACATGTAGTAGCAGAAACTACACTTCACCTCCTTTCGATAAATATTATATTGCATGGATGTTTTCTCTGTCTTTAACGAATCACGATCATATGTTGCCTATTCCTTTTTGAATCACGTAAAAACTATTTACTACGGGAAATCAGAAGTTAAATACTATACAATTACTGACTTTTGATGAGGTAAATGTGTGGTTTTATTGACTTTTGAAAAACTGAAATTCACTGAGGCCATCGGCCGAAGTGAATGTCACTAGGTTTTTCAAAAGTCAATTAAACCACATATTTACCGAAACAAAAGACAGTAATTGTTTTATTCCATGTTCCGAGCGAGAAAAATATGTATAAAATAACAGTTATTTACCAAAACCAACTAAACGTCAAACATTGTATCGTTATTATACACGTAAAAGCACGCGACGTTTTGCGCGGTGAATATACTTTTTCCGCAGGTGAATATGCTTATTTATTCAAAATCCCATTCATATAGAAAAATCTACTAAAGTTCTATTAATATGGAATAAACATTTTTATTGAACTACTTTAGAGGATTAATAGAAAAGCTAAACAGTCTCCTTCCAAATAATATTCCAGTCCCTATTTGGCAGGAAGCAATAAAACATGTCAACAAATTTATACTCTCGTCCCTATTTGGCAATAAGCAATAAAACATGTCAACAAATTAACACTCCACTTTCTTCAAAGCTCCATTTCCAGTGTACGTTTGACTGGTTTTTTTAAAGCTCCATTTCCAGTGTACGTTTGACTGGTTCTTTTAAAGCTCCATTTCCAGTGTACGTTTGACTGGTTCTTTTAAAGCTCCATTTCCAGTGTACGTTTGACTGGTTCTTTTAAAGCGTCATTTCTAGTGTACGTTTGACTGGTTCTTTTAAAGCTCCATTTCTTGTGTACGTTTGACTGGTTCTTGTAAAGCTCCATTTCCAGTGTACGTTTGACTGGTTCTTTAAAAGCTCCATTTCCAGTGTACGTTTGCATGGCTCTTTTAAAGCTCCATTTCCAGTGTACGTTTGACTGGTTCTTTTAAAGCGTCATTTCCAGTGTACGTTTTACTGGTTCTTTTAAAGCTCCATTTTCAGTGTAAGTTTGACTGGTTCTTTTAAAGCTCCATTTCCAGTGTACGTTTGACTGGTTCTTTTAAAGCTCCATTTCCAGTGTACGTTTGCATGGCTCTTTTAAAGCTCCATTTCCTGTGTACATTTGATTGTTCTTTTAAAGCTCCATTTCTACTTTAATTTGACTGATTTCGGATTTGTTTAAATTATAGTTTCATCTACTACTATGTCTTGTTGAATTTTTGCACAAGATTTAAAACCGAATTTGACTGTTGCATTGTATCCGGAGATAGACTGGCAGATGAACTCGATTGTTTACATGTGATAGAGGACTGAGATTTGTCATTTTCCTCTGATATATTTTTACTATCATCGCTGGGAACTTCATTGTTTTGAGCAGAAACAATTTGTGTTGAATAAAGTGGATTATCTTTTGCATCCAGTCCTATAGTTTCATTTTCACATTCATCTTGTTTCGATAATGGTTTGTTCAAAACTTCTATATGCCTTGATTTGTCATGACTATTGGTCTGTTGAAACGTCTTATTTGATTGCATTATATACGTCGACTCAGTGTCTTTCTTGATTGGTTTTGGTAATGGCTTATCGATAGTTCCATTTTCAGGCTTGATTATTTTTGGTGAAGGTTTGGGCGATGGTTTAGGCTTTCTCAAAATTGGTTTTATTGCAGCTTTTGGTTTCGGTGGTTCTTCACAACGTTCAGCGATTTCATATTCATTCTCATATAAATCATCGGACGCAGCTATCTGATTTTGATTACTGCCATTAGGAGTATCATACAGACTTGTATACGTCTGTTTTTGTTCATCACGTGACTCAGAAGAATTAGGCATCTCGTAAACGCGCGGTTTTACCATCGGCATGTTTGCATAATCTATCGGTTCGATTCTCTCCCCTTCCATAGCAGAATATCCAGGGTTGGTTGCGATAATGTTGGTCTCACCATCACTTTTTCTATTCCATCGGATAATTTTGCGAACACGTGCAAGTAATGTGTTGTTATGCTCAGGCGCAGCATATATATAAGATATTCTTTGGTCTGCTGTACTTGGTTCTGAATTAAATACTCCACGTCTGAAATAAAACCAAATATATGTTTACACCAGCAATTAAATATCATTAAATACTCCTAGTCTGAAATAAACCCATAACATGTTTACATCAGCAAATAAATATTCCACGTCTGAAAAAAACACATATATATGTTTACACCAGCAATTAAATATTTCACGTCTGATATAAACTTATGTATGTTTACATCAACAAATAGATACTCCACGTCTGAAACGAACTCATACATGTTTACATCAGCAATTACATGCTCCACGTCTGAAATTAACACATATATGTTTACATTAGCAATTAAATACTCCACGTCTGAAATTAACACATATTATGTTTACATTAGCAATTACATACTCCACGTCTGAAACAAAATCATGTATGTTTACATCAGCAATTAAATACTCCATGTCTGAAACAAACTCATGTATGTTAACGTCACTGTCCAATTTTCGAGAATGGCAGAGCTCGCACGATCATCTTTACCCGTCACATTCTATTTTTGCTTGTACAAGGCTAGCAACTAACACAATGGCTGTCGTTGTTTACTGTCCGACACATTCATTTTTCGTCTATTATTGTAGTATCAATCGGGCCGTTTGTTTCCTCTTTCGATTTTTTTCTTCACATTTTGACAACACAAGACCTTACAGTACGGTATTGGGTTTCTTATTGTTGAAGTGTCAATGGTGGTCTTTAATTGAGTTCAAATTGTTCATTATGGTCAACATACCTTTTTAGTATTAAAATTACAGTCACTAGTACGATTGAAGTCACTAACACGCCAAATAATATTCCCAGGATGACAGCAACTATAGAAAAAAAAATACAACAATATATGATATATACCGTGTACACTACTAGTATATAGATAAAAATATCAAACATATTAGTTCATAAAAATGACAGGTACTGATATTAAACGACAATTAAAAATATGACAAGAAAAAAAGGTACAGGATATTAAACGACTAAGAATATGAAAAAGAAAACAGGTATGTACAAGATATTGCTTGTGGGGTTTGGTTATCTCCCCATTTTAAAAATGGATAAAGGATTAATGCAAAGATAACAACCTGAAACGGCAATAGGAACCAAAGACATTAGAAAGTGGACCAACATTACAATTAAAGCACCACGAATAACTGAATAAAAAACTAATAAAGGTGGCAAGTACTAAAGATATTTACAGCTGTACGAAAAAAACAAAGTAATAAATATGCTTAGTAACAATGACCATAGCAAACAGACTTAAAGCCCTTTAAAAAAATAAACAGCAATAACAGCTTGACAGAAATGTAGATATACAATAACTGGACTACAATAACAAATTATGTATTTCATAAACGTTAAAAAAACATAAATTTTCCCACAAACGATGGAGAAATTTAAAGTGACGAATCAAGTCACATAACCAGCTGTATCCTGTGGTTTAAATAAATAACGTGATAAGTAAATCAATGGGAAACAACTCATTGGTACTGCAAACTATAACCAACAATAAGGGAAAAACAAATCATAAGCTAGAGATGATAGCGATTGAAACAAAAATAATCAAAATACACACCGAACAAACTGCCGACATATGGTTTACTAATATGGTTACAATGTAAAGTGTGATTTCAGAATAAGAAAATCCACAAAAGCCAAAATGGAGAATTTGAGACATAAATTCTGATATTTAAAATTCTAATTCGAAACTGAATGAACAGAATACTCCTTTATTTCAGATCAACGCTTTTGACAATTTAATAGTAGTTAGTCCTTAATGATTGACCAATAAAAATGGCTGCGGTGTTCGCAATAAAATGTTGCACGTTTGTTCCAAAAATATGAAAGTATTCATATAAACTAAACACAATTAGTTAAAGCATTCAATATTCATCTGACACAAGTTCTGATTTATAGATGTTTAATGGTCATTGATGTTTGTTTTTGCTGTTATTTTGTAATGTTCGAAATTTCTTTTCACGAGTTCCCAATTTTGAATAAGAAATACAAACCTGGAGTGTCATCATCCTCGTCAATGACGTCATCTTCTGTCGCAATCAACTTTGGTGTGGAAGTCCGAATCGTTGTTAATTCTAAACAATAATGAAATTAAGATTTCAAAGTCAAATAATTGTCGTCATAATATTATGATATATTGTAAAAAAAAATACAACTATACTAAATGATCATACCATGAACTTTTTCTGAATGAAATTTTCTATACATTTTTTAACAGATGTATATGTGCTCATCTGGACAATACAATGTTTTTTAGTTGTACGTTTCCATTAAATAGTTTTATTTTTAAAAGTTATCAAAAACCTTGAAAATGAAAATAACACTAACAATATTTCGTCACGGCCCGATGCATTTTTAATTATTTATCTTCATTAGTATATATCAAACCTATACATTTGAAAGCCAGGGATCCATAAATGTGCAACAAAGTTAGGAGCTAAATGACCAAAAGGGACCTAAAAATAAGAGCCAAATTAGTCTAATATCAACTTTAACTGAGGAAGTTGGAACCCTGGTTTCTTAATAATTTCTTCATTTATCAATGGGCATTTTAGTAAAAAATATGTAATAAAAGGGCGCATTGTATTTTGCGCCAATTTGTTTTTAAAATGCAGAATTTCCTTTGTGCCAATATAAAATACTGCTTTTGCGCCAAATTAAAGGTAAAATATAACGGAAACGTTTAAATATAAGTTGTATCCTGAGTAAAAGGTTCGTAAAAGAAATGTTGTAGATTAATGCAGTATTGACCCCTAACTCAAAGAAAAATAATAAATGAAAAATAATTTAAATTTCGCAAAAAAAAGGAAAACCGAAAGATTTCAGTATACAAAATGTACTAATTATGTCATCATCCTATGCTCCATCTTGATTGGAGGGTAACCTGGGAAGGTTTTTAATAAGCACACGTTGTGCGTACGTATATCGTTGTACTAAATTAATTGTAAGTTGCTTTCCTACTTAGAGAAACGACTTATTTCAGATTTACCCTTTTCTTTAACTATCAACAGCATACCTCGTGATACAATAGACAAAAACCAAATGCAAGTATGCAATAGACTAATTGTGTAAGCAAGTTCTATGGTGGAAACAGGTCTTTTATTTTATGTTCGATATAAACGTTTTTATTACTTGCATCAGGACCAAACCAATTGGAACTTTCACAATTCAGATTACATGAACTACTTAGTATTTCCAACAACTTCTAAAGTCCGTTAATTCTACTATAAAGGTTTTTGAAAACCATAAAACGTACCACACAACTCAATTTCACAGTATTCCCATCTTAAATCGGGGTCAGTAGTGTAACACCAAGGTCTGTCGTCTTCATCCGGGTTCCTACAGTAGTTTTTATTCCCTCTTCCAGTCGGCCATTGTTTCGGGACATGTGGATAGTTGCTTTCCCATCTCTGACAGGTTATACCACTTCCTGTTATACTTCTAGTTCCGTTGTAAAACGCTTTACCATCTATCCGGTAATAACAATCCTCTGAAATATTTAATATTATCTTCTACAGTGACCTTATATATATATATTGCTTAAGTTCGTTTTTTTAATTCTAAAGGTCTAACTTGCCAAAGTAGAAATGTTCGTAACTCATTTGAGGTCCCTTCGGTTATATTGTCCTTATGTATTCAACTTTCTAAACTTTTGACTTTGAGCGTTATGATGAAGGTTTATTTAAAAGCGTTAAAACACAATTAGATACGGAATGAATTGTTTTAGCAATGACTTTGTACCCTTAATGCAGAGAGTAGAAATTATGAGTTTTCCAAGAATCGTTTGGTTTTCGTAAAGAAAGATCTTTCAATGAAATATAGCATTAAGATACTTTGCAGAAAATTATGTGGTGGTTCAGAGTTCTAGTTATATTCATGGAAAACTCTTTTTTGTTTGTGTGTGTTTTTCCCTCACATTTTTCGTTTTCAAACAATATTAGTTATGTATTCAATTTCCAAGTATTTTTACCCAGTACCAAAGGGAAATTCAATAGGTTGCTGAAACGAACTTTTAGTGTATGAGTGAATGTTACTGAAATGAAATGTTAGCGTATGAATGCGTGATACTGAAATGAACTTTTGGTGCATAAATGCATGTAACTGAAATGAAATGTTAGCGTATAAATGCCGGTTACTGAAATGAAATATTAGCGTATTAATACGTGATACTGAAATGATCTTTTGGCGCATAAATCCATGTAACTGAAATGAAATGTTAATGTATAAATACTAGTTACTAAAATGAAATATTAGTGTAAAAATGCCAGTTACTGAAATGAAATATTAGTGTAGAAATGAGTGATACTGAAATGAAATGTTTGTTTATAAATGCATGTAACTGAAATGAAATGTTAGTGTATAAATGCATGATACTTTTAAAAAGAAAATAAGGGGAATACAAGAGTGTTACTAAAATGAAATTGAAGCTGTAACCGCATTTTACTGAAATGAAATTCAAGTGTATAACTGCGTTACTGAAATGAAATTTAAGCTATAAACGTATTTTACCGAAATGAAATGTTGTTGTATGAATGCAAATGTTACTGAAATGAAATGTTGGCGTATAATGCATGTTTCTGAAATCAAATGTGATTACTGAACCAAAAATTTGGTGCATGAATACTGGTTATTTAAAAGAAATGTTAGTTTAGGAATACAGATTACTGAAATGAAATTGCAGTGTAGGAATAAAGGTTAATTAAACGAAATGTAAGTGTATGAAAGCAGGATGGTTTAGAAATTCAGGTTACTGAAAAGTTAGTTTAGGAATACAGGTTATTGAAAAGTTAGTTTATGAATACATGTTACTGGTTAGTTTATGAATACAGGTTACTGAAATGTTAGTTTATGAATATAGGTTAATGAAATGGTAGTTTAAGAATACAGGTTACTGGTTAGTATGGGAATACAGGTTACTGAAATGTTAGTTTAGAAATACAGGTTACTGAAATGTTAGTGTTAGTGTAGGAACACGGATAGGTCTACTGACTGGTAAATTATGTCATTAAGAAATGTTTGAAGATAAAATAGACAAGAATAGGAAAAATACTAAAAGTAATAATACTAAGAAAATGGTTTTTCTCTAGAAAAGGTTCGGAAATGTGCATTGTCATTTAAATTTAATCCAGACAATGTGCGTTTGATATAATTGTAGAACTGTGTGCACATATCAAATTCGCTGAATATCTATAATATATTGATATATTATTAACGTCAAAATCAGATATTATTTTTTTTTCAAACGGCCAATCATATGTGCCACTATACTGTGCGCCTTATAACAATAACATGAGTATAGCAATATGTTTCAAGCTGGTAAAAATTCGTACCGTAACATGTGTATCTTATAAACAAACTCTCATCGGGTCCGGTACATGAATCTCCAAAAATACTATCGTAAGCATACAATGTGCAATTACGTTTCCATTGACAACGACCTTTGACATGCAAGGTCACTTCATTTATTTTACAGAAGAAAGCATCTCCTTCATAGGAAGCGTATTCAATAATAATAACTTTTCCTGGAGGACATTGTAATACTTTGGTTCTGCCTTCCCTGATCTCAATTTGCTCTGAAAAATAGTTTTCGTAAACAATAAAAACAATTCAAAATCAAAATATGAACGTGTCGAATTAACTAAAATTTAAATTTGATAAGATCGAAATTTTATCACGATTTCGGAAGTATGTGACTTAATACCCGAACGCAAAACGTATCATACTAACTTAAAGGATTAAGTTTCAATGTATTGGAATTTAAATTTGATGAGATATTTAAACAGAAAATGAATAGATCTGCGGTTTATTTGAGAAATTTTCACACGTTTTACGTTATTTATTATTATGTTATCGGATTTGAAAATGAATAAATAATGTGTTGGTATACTTCGGCAATTTAAAAAACATTAGTGCAGAAACATATGTCGTAAGGGGATATAACATTCGGAATAAAACTACTAGTGCAGAAACATATGTCGTAAGGGGATATAACATTCGGAATAAAACTACTTAGAATAAACTGGTTCTTGTTGTACTCTTTTATTTTGGTTATATAATTTTATACGACAGTCTTTTATTTTGGTTATATAATTTTATACGACAGTCTTTTATTTTAACAAAGCTGCAGGAAATGAGCACAGTATAAGAGAGGACAGCGCAAGGTTGGGTTGCTGTCAACGGTGCATTATAAATTGGATGTCCTATTTTGTTTCAGAAACACAAACATTTTTTTTTTAATATCTCTGATTTATCGGCTTGTATTTAGATGTGAAGAAATTTAGGAGAAAAAAACACTAAGGATGTATATACTATAGTAAGCAATCAAGCGGGTCGTGTATATAGAAAGTTTGTTTATGGTAATCAGCCCTGAAGAAAAGCAGTAAATTGTCTACACAGAACTATACAAATGCATTATAAAATGTATATATATTACGTATGTATCTGCTTCAATACACTTACCTGAAGTAACAGGTAATAATGCTATAACCTCTATAAAAATCAGCGTTGTCAACAAAAATAAACTAGTGTCCATCTTTGATTTCGGTAGAGGTTAAATAATGTACACATTTAAACGACCGGAAAATGAATCAATTTTAAAATGACCCGTCACAACTGTTCAAACACTAAACCTCCATAATAATAAAATGACTAACGTCACATGTTACATATAGGTCACAGAGTACATCAAATTATTCGACTGTTAAATTTTGAATTGAAATGGAAAAAATCTGATTGACACATCCTCTGTTCCTTGTACAGCTGAATAAATATATATATATTGTCAAAATGTCCATATCTACATGTAATTAATGTTTTTATTATTATTTCAATTACAATTTAATTTGATATTGAATACTTTTCATGATACTTTTGGTTATATAATAGATGCATTGTCCTTGAAATGTTTCCTATTGAAATTTTTGGTTATATAAACGTTATCTAAATTTGTGTTTTCATTGAAAAAAATATATAAATATAGATACCAATGACAGACTATAAAAAGCAAACCTCACAAAAACCAACAGCGAACAAAATACAAAAAAAAACAAAAACAAAAACGTGACGAGTGAACTCATGTGAACTCATGTGAACTCATGTGCTCTTAATGGAATCCGATAATCTATATGAAAACAATGGCATGTTTGTACACTGTTAGATCGAACTCAATACACTAAAGAGAAGACGTGCCTAGCTATAAAATTAACTTTATCAATAACATTCAGACGAAACAATCATTGTAATAAATAATGTATACACTTATCAATCTAATTAAAATTCATATACATATTAACTCGCGTGCTCGGTACATATAAGCATATTATATGAGTCTAACGAAATCAGAGATATATATTTTAATTAGATTGGCACACTTATTACATGTTGCTACTCTGTTAGTTGAAGGTTTTCACAATGTGGGTTTTTTTCTACTCACAATATGTACATATCTAAATTATTTAGATTTGATATACCTATTGACAATCTCAGCTTAAAAGGTACCGCTTGGATTTTTTTCTCTCTGGGCAGTCGTAATATTAAAGCTGTCCCTTTAATAAATAACAGATTCGAACAATGTATAACATATGAGGGCGTTTTTCAATTAAAGTGTGAATTTCAGACCTAAAAAAAATGGAAAATCAACTTGTCTAAAATTTTATTTCAAGTGTTATTTTGAATACCTCTATTATAGACCTGTTTGTAAATAAAAAGTGCAATCTTAAATTCTCTTCAAAATGATATTGTTTTCCTAATTTATGTACTGTTTCGTAGGGGACATTTGTCCACTACGAAACTGCTTCTAAACGCACATCTTATGGCATTTTAATGTCTCCTATTGACATTCCAGTTTGTTTTACTTTATATACTAGAAAGATCTCTCATTTTTTCTGAATTGGAGAACCATTTTTTTTATCTATAAAGATTAGACAGTACTTCACATATGAAGGTACAACTCATGTTACGTAGTGGACATTTTGATGAGTTTCGTAGTTGATAAAACCGTTTCGTAGTGGACAAAAAGTTTCGTAGTTGACATCAACCCTATTCTATGTTGATAAAAACATACTGAAAATTACATGAAATTAACCCTTGTTATTTGTTTTGCACGAATATAATTGAAAAAAAGTAAAAAAACGACTGCATGGTAGTGGTAGTGTCCACTACGAAACGTTTTTCTCTCTTACTTGTTTCGTAGTTGACCATTACGTAGTGGACATATTCACATGTTTTATTTTTTCCCCACAATCTCTATATTGTAATAGTAACAAAATGATTCTATTCATCAAAGCACATACAAAGCTGTACACTGATATTTTTTTCATAATTTTGAAAACAGATACTGAAGGAGATTTGTCCCGTTTCGTAGTGGACATTAAAAAAAATACGGTACCACTCTGGTCCATTTGATGTGCTCAATTTTTTTTTGCCAACAATTTAACTGCCGTTATAAAAGCATCACTTCTATTGTAAGACCATAATGTTTATATATCTTGCAAACATTAATTTTATAAAACTGTTTATTAGCAAAATTTAATGACTTCGTTTCGTAGTGGACATTTTGTCAGGAATTTCAGGGACACACCTTCTAAAATTAAAAATCCTTTGTCAAAAACTGTTTATTAAAATATGTTGGCTCTAAACATACTTTTGAATAATTAAAGAACTTATATTAAGTAAAAATAATATTTATTTCTACCTTTTATTACAATATTTTATAGTATGAATGTTGAATAGGAGGTCTAGGGACATGCCATTTTGATTATTTTGAACCATTCAGGAATCAATATCTTATTAATCCCTCTAAAAAATAGTATGTTTCTTTGCTTAAAAATGTTATATCTAATTAAATGTACTGACTGCACAAAAAAAGATCAAACACATTTTTTTAAAAGTGGATGGGACAAGAAATCACGTTTTTATTGAAAAACGCCCATGAAATACAGATAAAAGAGCGTAAATAGACCAAATGTGCTTATTTAGTAAATGTTTCGTAAATTTCATACTTGGAAGTAAGAGATGATCGTTTCTCTAATTCCTTTTCCTGATCTGTTGAATATTTTTATTAAATCAACGTGTGGTTCGTTTGATCTCAGTTCTTCATTGGTCAAAATTCGATTATGACGTCATATTTTCTTGCTTTCCTATTGTGACGTCATGAAAAAGGCGACCATGCCTGATGACGTTACTTAGAAAGAACACATCTTTTTGCAGATCATTCGAAATTAAGATTGTCTGTAGATCGTCTAAAAATCATTAGAGAAACAAATTCCACCACAAAATATTGTGCAATACGATATTTATCCACTCTCTGCTGTTAAATTTTAAATATTTAAAACGCCCGGCGATCCTCGCGTTTTAAATTTGAAAATTTAACTATATAGCTAATAAATATAAGTGTCACACTTGATGCAGTGGTAGAATCTATATAAATATGAACTATACTTATGATCGTTATCCATATTAATATCTTTGAACATTGATCTGCTGTGTGGTTAGTTTAGACATATTTTATTTGCTAAATCTAAGCAAAATGGATGAAACGCAAGTTCACCATCTTACCTCCTTTACACTTCTAGGAATATCATTGGTTAAAAGCAAACACGTGGAGACCCTGTATATTTAATATGGGGTTAGTAGGCGTGGTTTATTTTAATACACGGTCAGTAGTGGTGTTACGTCCCTTTATAAAAATAACACGGCGTCGTGGAACAATCTGAAACGTTTCGCCTGGACAACAGATTAAGAAGTTGATGATGAACGATTGAAATAAATGCAGAAAACACATTAAAAGCTAACAAGTTGTTATTCTTGTCATTTGTTTTTGTATAGACCAATGGAAGTACTAGGTTCTTTATATTGAAGACATGATCACCTTGATAGGCAACTAGTTTAATTGCCACATGTTAAGATAGTCGGTAAGATAAATTCGTTAAAAAGTGTGCTAATCGCCTAATACGATATATATGGGGTCAGTAAATTCCATACATATCGTATTACGTCACAAGAACACTGTGTAACTTATAGTCTTATAAGTCTTATTTCTACATAATACAATATGATTATATATATATATTATGTGCATGCATGTAAAACGAACAAATGTATTGGATATTATACAAACTATAAATAAAAAGAAGAAAGGAAAAGGAAGAATCAAAGATGGAGAAACCATATTATTCTTAGATGATGACTGAGGTTTTGATGATGATGACAACGAAATCTGTTTGACCTATTAATAAAATCATGAACATGTTTGAAATTGGAGAGATTTTGTTCATTCGAAAGCCTCCGCAAGTTAATAGCTTAGTATCTAAATCCAATTTTTCGGAAAGTCTATTAAGATTGTTGAGTAAAGATTCTCTACATGAAGTGTAGTTTGGGCATACGAAAAAGAAATGATGAACAGCCTCAATATCTGACCACACTGACAGGATGGATCCAATATGATGTTATACCTTTCAAAAGGTCATTGTTTAAGAATGAAGCGGGACATGGAGTTAACATAATAGTCAGTTTCCTCGGACAGTACAGATAACACGTGGCAACTTTACTCTGGAGACTATATCTTTTTTTTCAAATTCTTTCTTAAAGATATAGAGTCGATATTGCAAATTTTTAGATCGAGCTTATTACATTCTCGTATTTTGATGAAATAAAAGATTCAGTAGTTAGGGAAAGTCTACAAAACGGAACAATCATTTCGCAACGGATTGTTGATTGTACTTTGTGCACGATTACATAGGTACTCAGGTGCATGTGTTTGATTCATATTATAAAACATCTGTAATTTTCTTCTACTTTCATATACTATGAGATTCCCAGGCAACCTCAGATTACAGAGTTTCAGTTTTAGTGAAATTTGGTAGACCTGGTAAAATTATTGCGGCTTCCAATTGCAAGTTTTTCTAATTTATTTGATTTACATATACCTTAATTATCCCAAATTAATTAAAACCTTTACTAAATTCTTTTATACATTTACGGTCTTACATTCTGTCGATACCCATATGTATATATACAGGCATTTTCTAAATTTAGGCATTTTGTGAAATGAATAAAAGTTTAGGTATTATCAAAAATGCCTTTTGTGCATTTCATTAATTGACCAATTCTTTCAGACATTTAACAAAATGCCTGGAAATATTGAAAGGAATTTTACAAAATTGCATGAAATGTTCACAAAAACTGGAAATATTGAACAACAGAGTAGTAACGTGTCATTCTATGATAATGACTGAAGTTAACAGTATGCATTTTCAGAGTTTTAACAACTAAAAATGAATTATTTACAATTCCCACAAGAACCGACGATTATTTGTTATTTTGTGTAATGTTTAGATGACAGGATAAGTTACAAATTTGTCCAATCTTTTTGCAAACACATTGTTTGGTGTTAAATCAAGTCTTAACACTAGTTGGTGAAACCTTGATCATAACACATTCAGCTCTGTCAAAAACTTTTTTGATTAAGCATTAAACATGCGAAAGCATGGGTTTTCGTTCGTAAGTAAACATCACACACATGAATATCTCCTTCTATTTCTTGTGTTCCCAAAAGATTCAATTTAACATAAGCATGACAAGTTGACTTTCATCTTTTTGCTTATCGGAGAAGTTAAAAGACTCTTACAAATGATTGTAAAGATTAAACAACTGAGACAGT